CCTTTGCCGGGCACACACACGGAAGTGTTTACTCCCTGCAGCCTTAACAGGACCTGGCATCTTCCACCAGCGGAGAACACGGCCTTTCTTGTGAGCAGGCGCAGGGGTCAGCGTGGGCCCTGGCGGGACGTGAAAGCCTTTACAGCCAGGCCCCTGCGTATCCCTCAGTGGCAGGTGGCACCGGGACCCCGAGCCTCTGTCTGAGTGGCTGGTGCTCTGGGAACCCTTCCTTCCAGCCTCCTGCCATCGCCCTGCATGCAGGGCCCAGGGGAGCAGGCATGTGGCTGGCATCATGGGCACAGTGAAGCCATGGACCTGGGTGCCCGTCTCGTCTCGTTTGCTGAGAGTGGCAGAGAGGTCCCCTCCTCCACAACCCCAGGGGTGTTGTCAGGTGTGTGTATTGCGTGTAACCAGGTGCCTCTGGAGTCTGCTCCTCGCCCTCCCTCCTGCACTGTCCTCCTGTCCCTAGCTCCATCACCCACAAAGCCCGGAATGGGGTGCCCCGCCGTAACCTGCACTCTCCCCACCGAGTACTTGTCACGAGATCATTCTCGTGGGAAAGAGGTGTCTTCCTGCCACTCACCTTCCTGGTTCTGTCCTTTGACCTTCTCTCCTGAGAGCCAGTGCTCCACCACCACAACCCTCCCCCCCCCCCCCCCCCCACCGTACTCCCCATTCACCCTAGGCTGCCTCCAAGGCTCCAGATCAGGGAGCTGGGAATCTGATGGTGGCCTGCTGGCTGGGCTTGCCTACACCTCTGCCCAAACAGATGCAGCCCTGGGACCCACCAGCTGGGGTGACAGACGCTTCCTAGGGAGTGTCCCGGCCTGTCCCATCCCTGCCTGATACGTGTAGGGCCTTGTTTTTTTATCATGACAGCCCCAGGGGAGCCATTGGAATGGATAAGGTGCAGCCTGGGTGGTGTTCATTACAGACACTTTCCAGCCCCCCCCCCCCCGACTGCTTAGAATCCAAACACACCCACCCTCCTCTGTCCCATTTTTGTGACTTTTCCTTTGATTCGCGTAAAGCGGGATAAATGTCGTTAGTCCAGTTCCATTCACGAACAGGAGAACCTGGGGTCTCCCAGCATCTTGGGTTAGGATCCGAGAGCAAACCTGATGAAAGTCCACCCTGGCTCGCCGACGTCAACTCCCCGCACCCTCTGTGGGGAGGGGGCCTCTCCAGAAGGCTGAACTTGGAGCCTCACTCTTCTCTCCAGCCTGAGCCAGGCCTCAAGGACCGGGTGACAAGACGGAGGCTGCATGGAGGCTTGTGGGCACCCTCATCCCTGCCCGGGGATGTGACAGAGCCTTTGTGAAAGCCTAGGTGGCACTAGGAGGTGCCCGCTTTGGGGAGTGATCAGGCACACCTCTGGGCTGGCACTCCCTCGCCTCGCTCAGCCCCACCCCATGCCAGCCGGTTGGTGACCAGGTGCCCGCTGAGCAGGCCAGCGTCAGCTGCCGCCTCCACAGTGGCTTTCTGTTCCCAGTGCCAGGCGGGAGGGCCCACTCGTCAGCAACCTCCTCACGTCCCCGCTAGATGGAGGCCCTGGCTGGCTGCCCTGGAGTCCTGCCACCCCGAGGGGACCCGTTTGCTAGGCTCCCCTCAGGGCCTGATAGCCACCAGGTCCCCTCGGCATGGGTGTTGGGGTGCCTGACACCACGAGCCACCTGGGGCCGTCGGGATCTCCTGATGCAGCTCGTGTGACAGGCCTTTTTCATTTAAATGTAAAAAGTGGTGCTCGATTCAGTCCAGGGGACACGTTTCAGTGTGTTTGGGAGGACTTGGGTATGCGAAGCCACTTCCCAGATCAAGTGTCTCCAAGGAGAACGTAGTGTCCGAGCTGAGATGTGCCGTGAGTATAAACGACACACTGGGTTTCAAAGACTCAGCGTGAGGCAAGAATGTGAAATATTCGTGGCTTCCTGCCGATGGTGTGGTGGAGTGATAATACATATATTGGCTTAATTGAAGTACATTATTAGAGTATTTTCACCCGTTTCTTTCTGCTTTTTGAGGGGAGCAATGAGATCACGTGAAATGACTGTCTCCACGTCATATTTCTACTGCCCTCGACACTCACCCCCCTGAGCCTGCTTTTGCCGGAAATGTGGGTGGTAGTCCCGTAGGAGATCAGTTAATTGCTCTGGAGTGGTGTGGGCCACAGGATTAGACCTTAGAAACCCATGCTGTTTTGAAAGGAAAAAATTTTTAAAACACACAAAATATAGTTTGTTCATAAAACATAACTTTTTTTAAAAAAATACATTTTATTGATTTTTTTTTTTTTTACAGGGAGGAAGGGAGAGGGATAGAAAGTTAGAAACATCGATCAGCTGTCTCCTGCACACTCCCTACTGGGGATGTGCCCACAACCAAGGTTCATGCCCTTGACCAGGGATCGAACCTGGGACCTTCAGTTCGCAGGCCAATGCTCTATCCATTAAGCTAAACTGGTTAGGGCATAACTACTACTACTACTTTTTTTTTTTTTTTGCAATTAATTTTCAGTTTTGAGTATTGCAAACATTACTTCTTAACTGCACACGTGACACCTATTTCTTGGGCAAAATTAGCAAGTGCTGATGAGGCGGTGTTAAGCACGTGGGCCGTCTAGCATGCTCCCAGCCGGCTTTTGCTTTGGTCGTCGCATGGCAGAGATGCCACTGTGCGCTCTCGCAGCGACCTGCCGGGTACGCCCCCGCCCGTGCCTCCGTGAGAAACCTGTGCCTGCGAGCGCCCTGAGCACGGGTGGGGCTGCCGCTCCGCACACGTGGACAGAGGCCGAGGGAAGCCAGCCTGTACCCGGAGGGGCTGAGGACAGCGGGTCTGCTGGAAGTCGGGCTGAGCGCCCAGCTGTGTGTGTGGGAAGGTGGGGCAGAGCCTCCCGGACTCAGGGCTCACCCGGTGGGAGTCCTCCCTCCTGCTGGCTGAGCCGGCGGGAAGTGGATTCCGCCCCAGAGTGGACTGTGGATCCCCTTGGCGAGCCATTCACTTGAGAGACAGTTTTTTTTAACGTTGAATTTCCCCCAGGCATGAAGGAGGGCTGGGGCTGTTACACAGCTCAGACTCCTGTCCAGCACAGGTGCTTACCCGCTGCCAGGTTAAGAAAACAGTAGCCATCTCTGATGTGCCATGACCCCAGGTAATAAAGAAAAACTTTCTCCGACACCAAATGGAGAGGCGCCCGAGGCGTTGGGAGTGGGATACAGCTCACATTTTAGCATCCCTTCCCCCCAGGTTCTGGTGTGGACAGGAGCCACGGAAAGATGATAAGGAGGGAGGATAAAGGCAGTGCATTTACTGCCTGACGGCGCTGACATCCCCCGGCCTGCGTGCCCAGGCTGCCATTCTAGCCTGATGATTCAGAGCGGGAGTCCTGGGGTGTTCTGCTGGGCCGACTGTGTGATCGTCCCCCCTTCCTTTATCGGCGCTCGCTGGCAAGGTGCTGAAGGCAGAGCTTCAGCAAGTGACACCACCGAGGGAGTCCTGGAAAAAGTTGGAAACATTTTAAAAAGGCATAAGAAGAGCTTTTGTTGGTGAAGGATTTCTATAGCAACCTCTTTTTTTTTTTTTTTTTTTTTGCAATTTTATTATTTATTTATTCACTTATTTTATTGTTTAAAGTATCACAACTGTAGTACACATGTCTCCCTTTTCCCCCATTGACCTGCCCCCGGCCTCCCCTACCCTCCAGTGACCACTTTCATAAGGCCAAGCTTCCTTATGAAACCTACCCCCTTCCCCTGTGAAGCTAGGTTTCTCTCTCGTTTGTAAGCAGCGAGGCCCATCTGGACAGGGAGGACAGCCTGTCCTGGCAGTGCTCTGGAGATGCAGTGGTGGCCAGGGCACACTCCTAGGAGGGCTCATCAGAGGCACCGACACCGGACATGACTGATGGCTGCAGCCGGGCCGGCTTTTAAAGCCCCTCGGTGTGAGGGCCAGAAGGCAGCCCGCTCCCCGCGCCACCTCTCTGACGGCGCCGATTAGCGGTGATTTATCCCTCTCCCTGGGAAGCCGCTGCTGTCAGCCGAGGCTCCGCATTTGCCACGTGGGCTGGAGACCAGGCACACGCAGCATCCTGAGCCGTCCATTACAGACCCCGCGGCAGCTCTTTAATTCTCACTCTGGGTTTTAAATTGCACGAGCAAACCATGCCATAAAAATAAAGCCGTCTTTAAAAAAAAAAAAAAAAAAAAAAAAAATATATATATATATATATATATATATATATATATATATATATATATATATTTTAAGTCAATATATATATTATTGACTTTTTACAGAGAGGGGTAGAGTTAGAAACATTGATGAGAGAGAAACATCAGTCATTTGCCTCCTGCACACCCACCCTGGGGATGTGCCCACGACTAAGGTACATGCCCTTGACCAGACTTGAACCTGGGACCCTTCAGTTCGTAGCCCGACGCTCTATCCACTGAGCCAAACAGGTTATGGCTGTGGTCGGCAAACTGCGGCTCGCGAGCCACGGGCGGCTCTTTGGCCCCTTGAGTTTTTAGCAAAGGCCAGCTTAGGAGTCCCCTAATTAAGTTAATAACAATGTACCTACCTATACAGTTTAAGTTTAAAAAATGTGGCTCTCAAAAGAAATTTCAATCATTATACTGTTGATATTTGGCTCTGTTGACTAATGAGTTTGCCAACCACTGGCTTAGGGCAATAAAATCATTTTTTAAAAAGACTCTCACCCCCAATCCTGCTGCCCTGGCATGTACCATATCTTCTCCCCCAGGTCTCTGTACATGTGCAGACATAGTGTTCACGTAGTTATGATCAGGGAGAAGTACAGCTCGGGTTGACGTCTCACGTTTGTGTATACCCTAACTGTTCCCTCCCGTCCCACAGTAGCATGTTCATAATTACCTGTGGTGGCTCCACACGCTTCCAGTCACTTGGTAAGCTCTCATTTGGGTCATCGCTCTTTGTTTCTGTTTCCTGTTCTTAATGGTGTCTTTTCCTCTTTGTTTCTGTAGGAGGTTCTGCAGCAGCTGATCGTCATGAACTTGCCCAATGTTTTGATGATTGGCAAAGACCCGCTGTCTGGTGAGTGAAAGCCGCCCCCCGGGTGCTTGGCCCGTGCCGGTGGCTCTGGGCAGCTGTCGGACACAAGAGCTCTGGCTGCCGGCTCGGAGCCAGCATGGTGCAAAGTGACCAATTCGGTGACATTTCAGAGGGTGGGTTTATTACCCTGAGGCATGAAGCCAAGAGCACATTTCTTCCTCCCTTAAGAAGGAATCCTTGCAACCCCTCACATACGAGTGCAGAGGCAGCAAGGCCACTGCTTCCCGTGGGCTCAGGGGCCGGAGTTGTATGGTGGCCTAGTGAGGGATTGGAGGGACAGGGGGGTATCTCTCCTCGGTAAATGTGGAATCCATGACACTGTGGCGGGGTGGGTCCCTTTTGGGAAGAAAGTAAGAATCTGTTGAGGGCCCTGGCTGGTTTGGCTTGGTAAATGGAGCGTCGGCCTGCGGACTGAAAGGGTCCAGGTTCGATTCTGGTCACTGGCACATGCCCGGGTTGTGGGCTCCATCCCCAGTAGGGGGCCTCCAGGAGGCAGCTGATCAATGATTCTCTCTCATCATTGATGTTTCTCCCTCTCCCTTCCTCTCTGAAATCAATAAAAATGTTTTTTTTTTAAAAAGAATCTGTTGAGGGAACTCGCATCTCTCCCTCGGGGATCCTGTGATGCTCTTTGAGTTCGTGGTAGGTCTCACCACTGCACCTGAGGCCCGTGAGGGCAAGGGTTCCGAGTCCCAGCCTCGGACACTGGTGTGACCTTGAAAGACCGAATGAAATGGCTCCTGGACATCTTCCGGAAAGTCGGAGCTTAATTCACACTCGCCAGGTAGTTCCCGCGCTGTGGCTCCCGGCCATCAGCTCACAGGCCTCAGGACAGATGTCTCGCCATCAGGGGCTTCCCGTGTTCCAGTGGAGACCTCGCTGGGTTCTGGGGCCTCCTGGGGCAGGCCAGGGCGGGCAGGAAGGTCCGCCACGTGAGAGGCTTCTACACAGGAACTAGCCGCCCTCTGTGGCCAGCTCCTCCCCTGCTCTCTCCGAGGCTGGCCATCCTCGCTCCTGACAATGTGACAGCAGCTAGAGCTGCCTTGAGAGGGGAGGGAGAGGGCGCCGAGTGGCCAGCAGCCGCTTTGGGGCACTGGGCCAGGTATGGCTAAGCAGTATTCCTGTTGCTGCGGGGAGGGGTTCCTCCTGAGCCCGCTGGCCGATATGTCTGCCTTTTGTCTGCATGTGCAAAAAGGAAGAGGTTTTGTTGACCTCCGGTTAGTCCTCTGCTCGGCTGGCCCTGGAGCCTCACGTTGGCTTTGCTCCCAGGCGCACACACCCTTCCCCACCCATTCCCCCACCCCCACCCCCTCCGCCATTGGGCCATTTGTTTCCTGGCTTTATTTTGTGGTTCCCCCAGCCGCAGCCCTGGGCCTGGAACAGCAGGGCCTCTCATGGTTTCTATAGTAACTTCATGAAAGTTGGGGTCTGCTTTGCTGAGCAGAACTGTTGGCTCTCCTGGTCTGGTGGGAGCTGGTATTCAGGGGAGAGGAGAAAGGTGCCCAGAGAGGTGGGTGGTTCAGGCTCAGTTCTGCTCTGCCGTCCGACCTGGAGGTCACAGCATAAGGTGAGTGGAGGAAGCCTGAGAAGCAGGGCAGAGGGACGCCCGTTCCCGAGCCCTCGGTGAGCCCACCACGTGGTGGACATGGTACATGGACCACAAAGTGGAATGGAAGGCGCTTGTGGGATGGGCTGTGCCATCCCTATTACAGAGGAGGAAACAGGCTCTCCGAGTGTGAGTGACAAGCCCCGGGCCCTCGGTCTGTAAGCTGAGGTGCTGACTGAAATCTGCTGAGCTCCCCATCTGTACCCCACGCAGACACGCACGTGTCAGGCTGAGCTCTAGGCGACCGCCTGCAAAAATAGCCGTGGGTGTGGTCCGACCTAATATTAAATAAACGTGTCCTCCGCTCCCGCCAGCCACCCTGCCGCCTCGTCACCCTGCAGAGCTTGGCTACTTCCTGCCGACGCCTCCTCTTCCCCTCCCTGCCCGTGTCCCCACTTCCTGTGCCCTCTGGGGACCCCTGAGCCACCAGGCACCTCCACATACCACCCTGGCTCCAGCCCTCCCTCGGCGGACTCGGGTCCGGCCCCTTTATGACCCACACAGGTCTCCGCCTGGGGTCTGGCGCTGAGCGGAAACATCTGCAGAGATGTGGATGCCGATTTGAAAAAACCCACACAAACCCAGCTTAATGAAGGTGCAATTTGCATACCATAAAAATTATGCACGATGTAGTGACCTTTTCCATAGATGGACACAGCCCTGCAACCTTCACCACAATCCAGTCTTAGAACGATATGGGGAGCCGGATTTAAAGCTGTGACAGGTGAACAGAGTGCCGCCTGGTCCCCAGCATCGCATAGAATGGACAGACATCACCCAGAGGGGCTGTGGCCCCCGCTCTGAAGAAGTGGGAGATGAGCCGGGAAAGCGAAGGAGGAGAATGCCGCCCAGGCCGCAGGGTTGTTACCGTGATGTCAGGACCAGAGGGACTTGGGCTGGACACGCGTGTGGGTAGGTTAGGAGGGAAGTCCTGGGCGGCAGGGACGGGGGGACTCCCAGCACAAAGGAGGTTGTTGGCAGGCCCCTCAGCAAGAAGACGCAGACCCGCGTGCCAGAGCAGGGGGACGCGTTTATGGGGCAGGGTTTTCTGTTTTCTGTTTTAAAAATAGACCATGATGCATTCGGGGCTTCTTTGTCACTAGACCTCGAAGTGGGTTTCTTTCTGTGGGGTGCCTGGGAGGCGGGGCTTTCTCACGAACGCCGTCACACGCGTTTCGGGAGCTCGCCAGAGCTCCTTCTGGCTGGTGTTGACAGTGTGCTGTCATTTGTAACATTTCACCGTTTTTGGTTATTTCCCGTTTTCGGCAAAGGCAGCACACTGGAGTCGGGTGCCAGGGGCAGGACAGACCCCAGCAGAGCTCCTAGTCCACCCTCCCCCGTCACACGTGACATTGAAAGGCTGAGGGAGAGCACTCACGGAGGCACTCAGCACAGCGGCCCCTTGGGGAAGAGATGAACTTCTCATTAGCTGTTTCTGTATGGGGACGTCAGCCTCTGATCCCAAGCAGCTGTTTCTAAACGCCTGGCAGGACTCCTGGCCGAGGAGGGACTGCCCCGCATCCACACCCTGCAGGGTCCTGTCTGTGAGCACCATGGCACCTTGGAGAATGGCCTGGGGTCCCACCAGTTGCTCTTTGGCGGTCTGGCCCTCAGTTCTTCCTTTTCTCCCTCTTAATGGTGGTAACACAGGGTCTTCAGGGCACAGAGCAAGCACCTTGAGGAGTTGGAGCCTTCTGAGTCCCAGAGGCAGCGAATGGCCTTCCTTCGCAGCTCCATGCAGGCCATTGCTCTGTCTGCGGCAACCACAGGGCCAATGCCTGACCTCCGGATAGGCCAGAGGTCTTGCTGCCTCTCCTCCTCCGAGCAGGCTGCCCGGCCAGCGGCTCACACAGGAGCCCACCCCAGGCTTCTGTTGTCTAACGCCCACCTTGATGGTCCTAGGGGCCCAGAGGTGAATTGGCTGTCTCTGCTCCAGAACCCCCAGCCTGTGTCGGGGCAGGGAGGGGAGAAAGCACCCAGAACCAGGTCTGTTCCAGGGTGAGCACGCTGTACACAGAGTGCAAAGCAGGTCATGAGCTCTGCCTGGGCAGGCAAGGAAGACTTCCTGGAGGAGGGGCTGTGTGACAGGGCATGCAGAGCAGAGAGCAGAGGGAAGGGGTCCAGGTGGGCGGGGCTCAGAGGAGGAGAGCTGTGCTGGGAGTCCCATGGGGAGCCGCAGGCCCAGGGCACAGGGAGGGAGGCAGGCTCCAGTCCCAGGAGCTTAGGTTTCAGAGGCTGGAGGGAAACGGAACTCCTGACACTGTTCGGAATTTAATATTTAACCCTCTCCGTGTTTACTCGCTCTCCTGTCAAGAGTGTCCTTGAAGTGCTTTCCGGGTCCCATGGAAACCTTCCCTCACAGCCCACACCGCACAGCTCTGCTTTCTAGTGATGGCTGGGAACCCGGAGACCCGAGTGCCCAATGGTTTGCTCCCTGGCCCTGTGGCAATCGAGGAAGGCGGCTCAGAATCTGATTGGTTAGGAACAGCCTTTTTGCCACTGAGAGCATTCTTTTAAAAAGCCATGAGGGTTGTCTCCGTTCCCCTGCCGTGGGCCTGGGGTTCTGCCCGCCCCACTGCCCTGCTAGCTCGGCCCCTACTGGCTCCAGGGTCTCCCGTGGGGGCTAACGAGCATTATGTCCTTTTCCCCAGCCTTAGTGTTTTCACATCTCCCTAACTCTCATCTCTACTCTCTAATATATATCTTATTTTTGCATTTGCAAAAATCTAAGTTCCTTTGAATGAGGAAGAAAAAGTAAGCGAGACGAATCCTCAGGCATTCGATCCTATTACAGTTTCCTGTCTCGTCCTGGAGGGAGTAGGTCCAGAAAAGCCCTAAACCACTCTGTCCAGTGCCGGGCATGGGCTGCTCCTTGGCTCCTACGCTGCTGCTCAGTCCGCCCAGAACGCGGGGCTGCTGGCGCGGGAGCCGAGAGCCAGCGCCCCGCTCTTCGAGGAACATGAAAAGTTTGCTTAACCCCAAGGCCAGGCGAGCGTGGCAACTCGGCCAAATGCCGGCCTGTGTACGCCCCCGGGACCTGCCTGGATACCAGACGTTGTTTAGTCAACTTCTCGGCGGTGCCGCGCACACAGAGCAAATGCTCCCGGGCTGCGGCAACCTCGCCATGGCTTCCGGCAGGACTGACCTCCGTGGCCGCCCGAGGAGGGACCAGATGCTATTTGTCAAAGGTCTCTGTGCTCGCCGGCAGCGTTTGGGCTTTGCGTTTTCTGCGTGGGGGGCTGGGAGGGACCCTTTCTCAAATGTCCGCCACCACCTCGCCTACAGCCAGCACAGCCCTGGGTCCCGGTCTGAGCTCTTGTGGCTGAGTCTCCGGTGCTGACCTTCAGCCGCTGGGTGCTAGGACTCGGGCTTCCTCTAAGCCTCTGTGGCGGGGCAGGCGGTGGGTAGGGGTCACTCTCCGTGGTGACACTGTCTGAGGGCCGAGGTGGCTGTTTCAGACGGTTCTACGGCAGAGGCTGGTCGTTGTCCACGAGCAGCGGTCTGGGGGTTGGGGAGTGCGGGACGCAGGGGGTCGACGTGGATGCGGGTGATGGACAGACGCTGGGATAAGGGGCTGCCGGCCTGGATGCACTCAGGGGGCCCAAGCACCATTGCCCACGTGACCAGGTGCCGGCCAAAGTCTGAATTTGATAAACGTTTATTGAATGACTAATTAAACAAATGGGAAGGGAGGCCTGCTTACGTTAATGCCCGTGAGGGCCACATGTGTGACGTTCTCGGTATAAGAAATCCAGGTGCGGGTTTCCCAGGGGTCGCTGTCCAGGCTGTGCGGTGGTGTGTACAGGTGCCTGCCCCGTACCCCATGGGCCAGGGTGGGCACGAAGGGTCCCCATGTGCCCACCTAGAGGAATTGACTATCCACACTGTTCTCAGCAGTGCCAAAATAATAGGCAGCTGTTCTCGTCGTAAGTAGGGCCCCCAGGAGAGCCCCCCAGAGCTGTGCCCGTGGGCTGAGGCCCGGGATGTTGTTACTCAGGAGACATACATAGGGCCCTGGTCATGTTCAGTGCCATGCTGTCTTCAAATCAGCGAGGCAGCCCCATAATCGTCCTTATGAGGGGAGGGGGGCGGGTTTTCACATGCGAGACCAGGGAAGGCATGATGAGTGGTTGACTCTCACACGTGAGTCCGAGGAAAGCAGAATTAGAATTAGTAAGAAGATACATGTGTGTACTAACTTCTCACTTAACGTTGCCTGAAGGTTCTGTGACTTTAAGTGAAACATGTAGACTGAAACCAGTTTTACTCTATGTGTATTGGCATAATCAGGAATTAAGTTCCTACAGCATCTCATCATCTTTACAATGAAGTGACGTTGACTGAAATGACATTTGAGGTCACATGTGCCATCCCAGCAAGAAAGGAAACAAAAGTTCCTTGTGCCCTTGCCCTGGGACTCGATGCTGACGGTTCACGTTCGTCCGTCCGTCCGTCCATCAGCAGATGCTGGTGAGCAGCTGCACCGTGGCCCTGGATTGGAAGTGGGCCGAGCTGGAGCCCTGCCCTAGAAGGAATGTCAAGGGACGGCAGTTTCAGGAGGAAGAGGGGTAGTAGAGATTATTGGAAAGCAGGTGGGGACAGAGCTCAGTGTGTAACTCAGCCTGTTTGAGCCCCGATCTTGCTTGTAAAAGGGAGATGTTGTCCACTGGGGAGTGAACAGCAGCCTGTTATATTTAAGTGCAGCGGTGGTCTGTGGGAGGAAGGACACGGAGGAGGGCAGGCTTAACCACCGGATTGGGTTAGCACTTCCCCGCAGCCTCACTGTGGCTTGCAGATCCTGGGCCTCTGGCTGTGGAGAGCTGAGCTAGCCAGAGGGAGGCGTGCCTGTGGCTGCTTCTCTCTGACCCCTCCCTGCGGCTAGCTCACAGTGCCTGCCGACCCCGGCATGGCAGTGTGTGCAGTTTGGGGCAGGAAGAGCTCCCTCTGGGAGCGGGCTGTTTGCTTCCTTGACCTCGTCCCCACCTTTGTACCTAAGCGATCATTTACAGACAAGATTTATTTTCTGCACCCAGAGACCAGGGAGTGAGAACATGCAAATGGCTGCATCTGAGAGAATCACAGAGTAGAACGAAAAGGGGCCCTCGGGGTCACGTACCTGGCCTAGAAGACAGGTTTGGTTCCACGTGATGGGCATTGGCTGGGAGGGCTGTGTTCACAAGGACCCAGAGGTTAATGCCAGGCTCAGTAAGAAAGCGCTGTAATTGGCCATGTCTGCCCCATACAGAGAATTGCCCAGCCCTGATCTGACCCACCCTGCACATTTGAGAGGTTGGTGTGGCTTAATTGTCCACCCTTACAGCGCAGCACGCGTGCTAACAGGTCGTGTCCCTTCTGCTTTGGGAGCTGATCGCTGCAGATGCCTGAAGCCTCATGTGTAGCTGAGATTAGCCTAAGTAGTTCCATTTCTGCTAAGACAGACGGATGAAGTTTCTCTGTGTCAACCCTCCAGGAAGCAGGTAGTAGAGGAAGTGAGGTTTTTCTTAGATTCAACCAGTAGCTCAGGCAGTCGTGGGATTCCCCTCGAGTTGTGAGGTTGTGGTAGACAATATGGAGGGTGCCTGATGTTTCCTAGCCTCCCCCACCCACGGTGACTCATTCAGCACCGACATCCACGCTGCTTCATGCCCCCCCCCCCATTTCTCACTCTAAAAACCAACTCTAGTAAGCTTAACCACAGAGCATCTATAATTCAACCAACACCATGTTCTCTTACCTCTGGGCCTTTGCAGGGGCTGTTCCTGTGCCTGGAACGCTCTCGTTCACCTGCCTCCTAGGTCTCAGCTGGGTCTCGGCTCAGGGGCCATTTCTGTGAAGAAGCCTTGCCCAACTCTCCCTGAAGACTCCTGTCTTCCTCCCAGGTTCCCTTGACATTTTTCAGATTTTGTTCATCGTTGATTTTCCTGATCTGCGCGCAGAGGGCTATGTTGGTTATGACCGAGCTCCCGGCAGCCACGACACACGGGCACCTGGGAAGGGAGCTGTCTGTAGGTTTGTTTCTTCGACTGCTTAACTGTGTCACTGAGCCAATCTCATTGGCAGGGACCCAGTAGAGAGTCGTATGTAATGTTTTGAAACTGTTCAAAACCCACAATCTGGTAGATTGATGAAAATAGCAGTTCTTCCTACTCCTGATATCGTGTGAAAAATTGGGCATCAGCCTCACTTGAGAAATGAGGGAACTTCTGCGCGCGCGAGCGCGCGCGCGCTCTCTCTCTCTCTCTCTCTCTTTATAAGTGTCATAAGAATCCGTGTAGGGATGAAAATCACAGGTTGCACTTATGATCAGCACGTTTGTATTCACTCAGCCTCGTGAGAACAAGCACAGCACTGCTCCGCCGGAATGAAGATTTTTCTAAAATTAATTCTCCACCTATAAAACCTATTTCCTTCCCCTCATAAAACTCAGCAAACAGGAACTCCATATTTTTCTAATGATGTGCTAGATCCAATTTAGGTTTGCCTGGATGCCTGATGGGTACAAGTGAATGAATGAATTGAATGAATGAGCTAGCCAGAGGCTCATGATTGTCACTGTGTGTATCTGCAAGGTGCCAAGGGAGGAGAACCCTTTGCTCTTTCACTGAGCAGCCTCAGACTGTAATTGTGAGCTCACATGTGCACACATGTATGTGTGATGTGCATGTATGTGTAGTGTGCAAGCAGGGTTTCTGGTCTCTTCCTCGTTTATGCATTTGCTATCAGCAGCGGGCCTATCCTATACTTGTTCCCACGTTCAGTGCTGTCTTCCTCTGCTGAGGCTGGGAACATGGATCTCAGAGCAGTTTAAGTTATTCTAGAGTATGGTACGCTTAGATCCTCTGCTGTGAAGAGAGTTCATAAGGATTTCCTGTGTGAACTCTGCCTTCTGTCTCTATTAAAAAAAAAAAAAAAAAAAAAAAAAAAAAAAAAAAACAGCCACCAAGGTGTTGTTTAGCATCATTTAGATTAAAACACTGAGAATTGGAGCCTCTGGGAGGGGATTGGTGAGTGAGTTTGTGGCCTTTGTATGCAGTAAGTAGGAGACCATCACAAGTGATAGGTGCATGTTGTTTGGGTTTTTCTTTGGACTATTAATACTTCAGCCAAACATCAATACTGAATTATGGGGAGGGGAGGAGTGGAATGGATGTGCAGAATCTTGATAACCTGAAGCTGGGAGATGAATCCAGGGGCTCATTGATCTGGAATGTTGCACAATGAAAAGGTAGCATTGTATGCCTTCTCATCTTAGAGCTGACATAGTATTTCCTGTGGAGACGCCTCTCTGCCATTGGGCTTCGCTTCCCACACACACTAAAAAGAGATGCATAGGATAGGCCCGCTGCTGATAGTTGAAGTTGGAGCCTCCTGATAGTTGGAGCATCCTGGGAAGATATTTATGATATATTTGAGTGGAAAAGGACCGAAAATAGTTATGTACAGAATTTCCATTTGGCTTAAATAAGGTAGAAAACAGATGGAGTGTGTACACCCAGGTCGAAATCACTGGGTAGAGAAATTATTTTTGTTTTTAGCTTTTCTACAGCATACTCGTGTATCGGTGGTGAGATATTGTGAACAGATGAGTCTAATTAAATACGTTGCTCTTTTGATTCAGGGAAGAGTATGGAGGAAATCAAGAAGGTGCTGTTGCTGGTGCTGGGCTGTGCCGTCCAGGTATGGCGTGGGTAAGGGTGGAGGGGGGCCTGGCCTCAGCCATCCTGTGTTTGGGTTTGTGGGGATAGACTCCCCCTTAGTGAGTGAGGTCGGAGGGAAGCTGCCTTCAGCCCAACATGACACGTGCTGGGACCACTCCGTAGGTGGCAGCCGATTCTAGTCCCGGGCACCTTTGGCAAGAAGCAGGTGGGGATTCCTCAGCCCAGGGTGCCCTTAGCAAACCGTTCCCAGAATAGGGACACCTCGAGCAAAGAGCAGCAGCTACACACAGCCCGGCCTACACACAGCCCATCTCGGGAAATAAGGCTCATGGGAACAGCCCCCATGGTGACTTCCGGTACTATCTCTGGCGGCTCGCACAGCACGAGGCAGGCTGAGACTCAGTGGCCCCCGGACTCTGATGTTTTACCATCCATCCCTTTGAAGACGGTGTTTGTCCCATCTGGCTTACACCAGGTGGTCTTGGTCTTGACTCATTTAAGAATCAATGGAGCTTGTTTAATGTGCAGATTTCTGTATTTCATCCCCCACGTCTTCAACCAGATGGGGCTTTTTAAGAACAAGCACCCCAGGTGATTCTGATGTAGGCTCTCAGAGCAACTTGTAATAAAGAGGCACTCAGTCCTCTAGAGCAGTGGTCGGCAAACTCATTAGTCCGCAGAGCCAAATATCAACAGCACAACGATTGACATTCTTTTGAGAGCCCAATTTTTTAAAACTTAAACTTCTTCTAACGCCGCTTCTTCAACATAGATCGCCCAGGCCGTGGTATTTTGTGGAAGAGCCACACTCAAGAGGCCAAAGAGCCGCATGTGGCTCTCGAGCCGCAGTTTCCGACCACGGCTCCGGAGAAACCTCAGTCTGAGGGGCGGTGGGGACGTCAAATTCTCGGTTACAAAGGAGGAAGCCAGGGCAGGCGGGCAGGTCACTGGGAAACGCTCTGTGGCCGCGGTGGGCTCCGGTCGCCTCGCTCGCAGAATGCTCCCATTAACACACGTTACCCCGCAGTGCGAAAGGAAAGAGGAGTTCATCGACAGAATCAAACAGCTGGACATCGAGACCCAGGCCGGGATCGTGGCCCATATCCAGGAGGTAGGTGTGTGGCTGGCTCCGTGGGGCTCAGCCGTAGACCCCCCACTCCCATGTCAGCCAGGAGGCAGGCTCTCCCCACCCAGGAGGAGTTGAAAGGCTACATCACCCATTAGTGAATTCACTGAGTTTAGGTTTCCGATACCACAGAAATATCAAACCTGTTTGGGAAGCTAGTCTTCAGCAAGCTAAAGTTAAATGGGGGTAAGAATTCGAAGAAGGAACAAATTTAAAACACCTCAGTCAAGTCGTCTTTTGCCTCCTCTTCTTGCCTAATATGGGCTCAGACTATTTTTAAGGGCTGTCAAGTGGTTGGACTCAGAATTTGATTTGCGGGCCCTGAAAATATATTCTGGCATTTGTCGCCCTGCTTCACACGGTTGAGTGTCACGGAGAAAGGTTGTCCATGCCTGTCAGGGACGTGGCAGAGACACGGCTGCCACCCCCTGGGGAGAGAGAAAACAGCACCTAGAAGGGCTGTCGCTGTGGACTCGGCCCCTGGGGTGGGGTCAGAGGGCTCTGTACTGAGGATGGTCCCTCTGCCATGGAGCCTGGCAGAGGTGGTCACATCAGACGTGGTTTCCCTGGAAACCGGGCCTATGGGGGCAGGCACTGACCTGGAAGTTTATTTCCCTGACATCCCCCGCTCCCTCCAGAGGAAGCCCTGTATGATTTAGTTACCTTAGGACCGTGGTTGGCAAACTGCAGCTCAAGAGCCACATGCGGCTCTCTGGCCCCTTGAGTTTGGCTCTTCCACAAAATACCACAGCCTGGGCGAGTCTATTTTGAAGAAGTGGCGTTAGGAGAAGTTTAAGTTTTAAAAAATGTGGCTCTCAAAGGAAATTTCAGTTGTTGTGCTGTTGCTATTTGGCTCTGTTGACTAATGAGTTTGCCGACCACGGCCTTAGGAGAAGTGGTTCAGCCTTCAGTCTTGTTGGACAGATGAGATAACGTCATGCAAAAGGCATAAGCAGGAGCGCCTAGGAGCAGGTGTGTGACTGGCAGGGGCAGCTGCACACAGCTCCCCAGGCTGGCACCGGGGGCAGGCTGGGCTAACGGGTCCCCAGCCTCCGGGCACCATGGGGTGATGGACTGAGTCTCGGCGCCGGAGCCAGAGATGGGAGTGGCTTGTCATAGTGAGGGGAAATCCGCATTGTCCTAAGCACACTTAGCCATTCCTGACGGTGAGGGGCCGCCTGTCAGCCTGGGACCTTTCTGCCTTTTTGTTTTCCTGTGGGTCCACGTGTTTTGAAAAGGGACTAGGTCTTTGCTGCTCACTGCCTCCCCAGCTCAGCCAGTAGGATATTTAAAATGAAAGGGGGTGGAAGGCAGTTCTGCGTCCTGAGTGGTGATCAGGTTCAGAGCTGGCTGTGGGGACTGGGCTTCAGAATTAGTCGGGTGCTTCTCAGTCAGGAGTCTGGCCCCATAGGAGACACACACCCCCTCGCAGCACGGGGGAAGGGGGAGGGGCAACATGAGCCTTTATTAAAGCTGCCCGGGGGCCCATGTGCCGCTGGGGTTGTGTCCCCGGACCCCCTTTCCAGACACGAGAGGCCTTTCCCAGGCCCTGGGATGGGGCGACCTCCAGCCAGCCTCCGAGTCCCCGAACCTGGCCTTCGGGTGCCTGGTTCCGTGGGCTGAGATTTCTCCAAATCCTCTGAGATGGGCCGACCCCGGCTTTTCCCCTCTGTGAGGTGGGAGAGCTAAGGGAGTGGTGTCATTGAGAAACTGAAAGGCCCTGTTTTCTTGTTGTGGGGTGGTGTGCTGTGGGTTTTTTTTTTTTAAGTTATTTTCTACCTCCGCTTACTTCTCTGGAAAATGGAAGAACTTTTTTTTGGTGTACCTCACTGAGTAGGTTTCCATTTGTTTTCCTCCTTTGAGGCCCGAGTGCACTAACACTCATCTTCCCACTCTGAGAGGACGAGGCCTGGGGACAGACCATTAGCCTCCTCGGGCTGGGCTGGGCTCCGGGGCAGGTGGCGGAGAGGCTGCCCGGCGAGGACCTGTGGGGGTGAGAAACAGGTTCCCCCGAAATATTATTTTAAGTTATGAAATATTTCCCCAGAAAATAACCTAAGATTGTTATGTACCCAACATTCGGACATAAGCTTTTTATTTAAATATATTTTATTGATTTTTTTTTTTTTTTACAGAAAGGGAGAGAGAGAGAGAGCGAGCTAGAAACATCGATGAGAGAGAAACATCGACCAGCTGCCTCCTGCACACCCTCCAGCGGGGATGCGCTCACAACCAATGTACATGCCCTTGACCGGAATCAAACCCGGGACTCCTCTATCCACTGAGCCAAACAGGCCTCAGCAACTTAAGCAACAGAAAGCCCCTGTTTTCTGTTTTAATATTTTGCCCTTCTCACATTCGATTTTAAGGAATAAGATGCTATTCCTCTCCTCACCCACCCCCGGGGCTCCCCTCCTGTCTGTGATAGATTGATGGTGTGCTACTAAAAGCACCTGAGGACAGTTTGGGGCACGACTGCCTGTAGGGAGAGCTTCGGGGTTACAGTCAGCGTCCTCTGAACGAGCGTGACGGTGGCAGTTTGTGTGCGTGAAGAACGTGGCTGCAGGGAGTATGGCTGTGCTGGCTAAGGAGCTCCCGAGCCCTCCCCCCACCCCCCGCCTGCCACAGAAGCTTCGTGGCTGAGGTTAATGACCGTGAGATGGGTCGGCTGTGGCAGAGTCTGCCTGGGCCCACGAGGCGTGGCCTTGTGGGGGATGCTCTCGGGGACCCCCCCGCAGCTGCTCCCTGCCCAGCCTCTGCAGCCCCGGACCCGTGTGTGCCCTCAGGTGACCCACAACCAGGAGAACGTGTTTGACCTGCAGTGGCTGGAGGTTCCAGACGTGGCCCCAGAGGAGCTGGAGGCCCTCTCGAGGAACATGGTGTTTCACCTCCGGAGGCTCATAGATGATCGCGATGAGTGCAGGGAGGTGAGTTTGCCTAATGGGCAGGGCAGGGCGGGGCTTGGGCCTGGGGCCCGAGTTATGGGCCATGCTCTTCATCCTGACTCTTGCTCTCAAGCCTCTCTTTCTCTCGTGATCCAGTTTCCATGGGGGTGGGATGTGGGCACTTTCCCTGGGGGCACCGTCACCTCCAGACACCTGTGTGAGGGTCGAAGTTGGGCGTGGGGACCCTGCTGCATTCACACGCCCCTTTCGGTCTCAGTAAATATATCCTCGCTTTTTAAAAACTCACACCGCCTTTCTCCCGCCTCCCTCATGGCCTTGCAGTATCGACTGACATCTCTTTTACTTCCGTGCTCTGGTCCTTGTCACCAAGGGCTAAGGCGGGCACTGTGCCAGGCACAGGAGCACGCCGTGAGAGCCCTCTCTGCCCGCCGCAGCTGATCGTGGACCTGACTCAGGAGCGGGACTACCTGCAGGCGCAGCAGCCGCCCAGCCCGCTCCAGTCCTCCAGCGCCGAGTCCACGCCCAGCCCCACCAGCAGCCTCTCCAGCGAGGACAAGCAGCACCTGGCCGTGGAGCTGGCCGACACCAAGGCCCGGCTGCGCCGCGTCCGGCAGGAGCTGTGAGTCCCCCGTGTCCCGTCCTCTCTGCTCTTGGGTCGTGTGTCCCCACACATCTCTAACACGTGGCTCACTGCCAGGCGATGCAGCAAACGGGGGAGCTCTGACCGGCGCCCCGGAGTGCAGGCACCGCTCCGAGCTCAGGCCCTGTCTGGCCGTGGCTAGTCCACCCTGCGCTGGGGCCTGCACGGGAGGGGTTCTGCTGGGCCGTTAGGGCTCCCGCCAGTCCAGTCATCACAGGCAGAGCAGCAGCCTGCTGTTCATCCTCGGGCCCAGCGTGGGGGTCGAATGGCCACACACTAGTGTGTGTGTTCTTGGCTGGAGGGAGGATGTGTCTCGTCTCGCGTGGCGAGCCTGTGCCCTCTTTCCTGCGGCTGTGATGCCACGTGCCCGTCATCTCAGGAGCTGCCCGCCTTCACGTCCCCGCCAGTGGGCCTCGCTGCCTGCCTGGCCATGGAGGGGCCCAGGGGCTCCTGGGGCTCCTTCCCCATCCCGCACCCTCAGAGGAAAGCTCGGTGTCTGGCGGCTCTCGTCCAAGGGCAGGCACTGAAAACGTAAAAATGGCTTTGGAGTCGGGAGTGATTTCCAAGCCCCACGTACAGACTCCCTCCTCACACCCAGAAGCCAGGTCCCCGTTCCTTTCCCGCCGTGGTCTCCCCAGTGGTGGGCTTTCTGGGTGCTTCTGAGGAAGCCTCACCACGTCCTCCCATCGCCCCCAGGGAGGAGAAGACAGAGCAGCTGGCGGACACCAGGCATGAGGTGGATCAGCTGGTGCTGGAGCTGCAGAAAGTCAAGCAGGAGGTGCGTGAGCCTGTCATGTGTCGGGGGGCGAGCAAGGGGCTAGGATGCCCCCGTAACCATGGCCCGAGGTCCAGGAATGTAACCACGGGACCTTCCCACAAAGGCTTGGCTCCTTCCCACTCAAAAACAACACTGCCTGAGAGCCCGTTGTCCTGCGAGTTGCTGTGGGGATGACATATTTTGGTGACAGCGTGTGGGGCCCCCGCGGTGGCCTGCACATGGAGCCGCTCGGCCGCCGGGGGCTGCAGGGTCTTGGCCTTTTGCCCCGCAGCCCGGACGGTGCCCTGAGCCAGGTCCCCTGCCTTTGCCCACCTCCCAGAACATCCAGCTGGCCGCCAGCGCCCGGTCTGCTCGCGCCTACCTCGACGAGCTGGACTCCCTGCGGGAGAAGGGGAGCCGCGTGGAGAGGCTGGAGATGGAGCTGGTGCGCTTCAGGGAGAAGCTGAAGGACGCGGACTTCTACAAGGCCCGCATGGAGGTGAGCCCGAGCCGGGCAGGCGCCCACGGCGCTTCTGTCCTGGAGGAGGGGGAGGAGCTGTGATGCTTTCCCAGCTGCCCTTGCACCCCGACCTGTCTGCATGACCCCTGGGTCTTCCTCTGTTAGTGGCAGGAATAGAATTGGGAATATGGTTGGAAGGCCTGATTCTTATAGGATTTTTTCTTTCTACTTCATGCCACAGTGATGACCTTTCTATTCACAAATCTTTTTTTAAAAAAATATATTGATTTTTTTTTACAGAGAGGCAGGGAGAGAGATAGAGAATTAGAAACATATATGAGAGAGAAACATTGATCAGCTGCCTCCTGCGCGTGCGCACGCCCTGACTGAGGATGTGCCCGCAACCAAGGTACATGTCCTTGACCGGAATCGAACCTGGGACCCCTCAGTCTGCAGGCTGACGTTCTATCCACTGAGCCAAACCGGTTTCAGCTTTTTTCTTTTTTTCTTTTTTTAAGACTTGTAATTTCTGTGTCTAAATCTTGCCAGGACTGTTCCTCCATCTGTAAAACAGACAACTGTACTCGTTCATGGGGTTTGTACAGTGAAGGAGTTAAGATACCTTGTGTAGGAGCAAGTCCCACAGTAAGCTCTCATGGCATAGCCTACTCGGATCCACTCAGGGGAGGGTGGCAGGGATTCTGAGGCAGGGATTTTGGTGCTTTGACCTCTCACCCCGACTGCTTCAGGTCAACAGTGGGTTCAGAGCTCTCTCTCCCGAGGGTGTGGGAACTTTGCCCCCTTCTGCAGGCCCCTGGGTTTAGAGGCAGTTCGCAGTCCCCGGGCCAGGTGGCGGCAGGTGTGCTGGGACAGGCTGTTTGGCCAGAGACCTCAGCATGCTCTCCTGCTGCATCCGGGCCCCGAGGTCCCTGGGCCACGTGGCGGCAGGCTGGAGACGGCTGTTTGTACCTCCGGCCTCCTCAGGGTGTGTCTTTCCCCAGGAATGTGGGTGACACGCTCGCCCCTTGGAGAAGGCGCCCCGGGTGCTGTGCCAAGGCAGCCTGGCCCAGGCAGGGTGGGGGTGAGGCCGCTCTCAGCTTTGTCCTGGAAATGGCCTGCTGGCCCTGCTGGTGGTGAAAGGCGACCATCTGCAGCACAGACGGGTTCCGGCACATGGCACGCTCACTCACCGGGAGTGCCACGGAGGGAGGGCCGCAGACCGCTGCCTCTGCAGCCCTCCTGCACACCGGGGACCTGCGGCAGCCCCCACACCTCACCCCAATACTGTCCCGTGGATGGGGGTGCGTTTCGGGGCCTGTGCAAGCTGCCTTGCTCGGTCACGCAGACATGGCGACCAAAGGCCCGTGTAGCTTCCCCGTGCCGGGAGCGCCTGGGCTTTCGGAGGGTTTCGCACAGGAACTCCTTTTCCGTGTTCTCCACTTTCCTGCCTCTGGGTGATGCAGCAATATTTTTCATAATGATGAACAATTTTTCTGTCCAATTAGTAATGCCTTAGGCCTGGCCGGTTTGGCGCAGTGGATAGCGCACCGGCCTACGGACCAAAGGGTCCCGGGTTTAATTCTGTCAAGGGCATGCACCTCCATAGCAGGCTCCTCCCCAGCCTGGGTCCTGGTCTGGGCACGTGCAAGAGGCAACCAATCAATGTGTTCCTCTCACATCGATGTTTCTCTCTGTCTTTCCCTCTCTCTTCCCACTCTCCCTAAATAAAAAAATCAATGGAAAAATATCCTCAGGTGAGGAGTAACAACAACAACAAGAAAAACAAAAGAAAAAATTAGTAATGCCTTAAATTTTGCATTTGTTTAACAAGTTAAAGAGAAACGGTGTGGTTCATGGAGCCCCGGCCAGGCGGAGAGGGAGTCACACTGTCCTCGGAGGCTCGTGAGCCAGGGCCCAGGAGCAGTGGGGACGTCCTTAGGTCGAGGTGGCTCAGCAGCCCTGCGGACTGTGCACAGGCCCGGCCAGCCCTGCTCCGCCAGTTTTCCGGAGGCACCTCGAGCCCCCTAGGGGAGGGACAGGGTCGTAAGCGACTGCATTCCTGGGGCCTGGCGCACACAAGGCACTCGGTAGTCACCCCACAAGGACAAACCCACCTCCCAGCAGTGAAAAGACTGGGAATCTGGGGGGAAGGACGGGGAAACCTCACGAGGTTTAGTCTCCTTCCAAATGGTGACGCTTGGGCTGTGGTGGGCAGCAGGTCAGAGCGCCGAGAACAGTTCCCCTCCGCTTGGGGACCAGCCATCAGGCCCGGCCTGTGGCTTCCTAACGTGGCCCCTCAGCTGTTGGCTGGGCTGGGCCTGGCCTGTAAATAGCCTCCCGGTTCAGTTGGGAACAGGCCCCCGGGGCCAGGCTGGCTGTGGGCAGCTGCAGGGCTGGGGCCCCTCCCCGTCCAGGTCAAGCCCTTTGCCAGCTTGAGGACTCTGGTACGACTTCCTGCGGTCCGGTCTCTCCCTTCTGAGGTGGCAGGTGCACAGAGCGAGTTTAGATATTTCTGACGCCTAACACACGGCGACGTCTACACCACCAGAAAAGGAAAACGTATTTGAACAGTAGTTGTAGGTCACTTTGTTCCACGCTGTCCATCCCTGCGTGTGGTCCATCCAAGTCTGGCAGGGCCCAGCTCACTGGCCACCTCCGATTCCCCCTCATGGCGTGGTTCAGCTGACAAGCGTCACTGAGCATTTCTGGGAGGCCCCCAGGAACAGAAAGGGACTAGCCTGCAGAGGAGGACAGGCCAGCTCAGTGTTGCCCCAACTTGTGGGCACTTGGGGAGCCTGAGCATCTGATACACAGGGTGGAGTTGCAGGCACTTCTCAGAGGGGGCAACTCCAGCTGGGTTTTGAAGGCCAAGTAGGAGTTGGTTGTAAGGCAAAGGGGCAGGCTATGCTGTGGGAGCTCAGGGCCTGAGAGTGTGGTGACATAGATGAGTGCTGGTGGGTAGACTGGCTGGAACACAAGGTGAGAACGCTGGGGGCCGTGGCCAGCGAGGGAGAGCCGGGCCTCCTTCGTGCTCGTGGCCCTCCATGGGCTCCAGCTCACATCACTGAGAGCAGTCTGACCTTCTTCCTCTCCCTCTTCTCTATACACACACACACACACACACACACACACACACACACACACGGGGCTCCATAAGAGAACACATGTCTGGAGCTCTCTAGCAGAGTTCAAGCCCCAGCTTCACCCCTCGCTGGCTGTATGGCTTGGGGCTCATTCCTTAATTGACCCACAGCAGCATCTTCGTGCGTAGGAAGGAACTGTCCCTGCCTCCCCCTCAGAGCTGCTGTGAAGAGTGAATGTGCAAGGACAGAGGGCACCCAGTGCAGGGCTGGAGATGGGCAGGGAGACGTTGCCCAGGTGAATCCAGAGTTTGTGAGCAAACCCTTCCTGCTGCCAGGCTTTCATCAGAACTGTGTCCACTGATGGCAGGTCCACGGCTTCTCTTCTACCCAGACGCTTGGGTTCTGGCCCCTGTGGGGAAAACGAACATGAGATGGAAAAGCAGCAGCTACCGCTCACTCTCAGTCATTAGAACCCATGAGTGGGGCCAGCCTTGGAGAACTGCCCACCGAGAGCAACCGTCCCATCCCATGTATGCGTGTTCCCAGACTGTGAAGGCTTCAGGGGAGACTTGGCCCCTAAGACACCGAGTGGTTCTGGAAGGGCTCCTGGCGGGAGCAGAGATGAGGGGAAAGAGCTGAGCAGCTCTCCATGTGTGCTGGGCACTGGGACAGGAGTAAGTCCAGCAGAGTCCTCCGGTGAGGGGGCCTGGGAGGGACCAGCCACAGCATCCCACACCCAGCATGTGCCCGACTCCCAGAGGCCCACAGTATTGTTGTTGTGTCTTTGCCTTCATGACCAGGAAACTGCTGAGAGCTGCTTTTCTAAGAGGACGTGCGTGAAATGTTCCAATAGGAACTGGTTATTGAACAATAGCTCACCCGGATAGCCATTTATTTCCAGCACCCAGATCAGAGGAGTGACTATTGACTTGAGATGCCTAGGCTCAGCCCTTAAATCTGGGACAGACTCTTAGCCCCGCCCCTTCCTTGTTAAGCGAAGTGGCACACCTGTCAGCGGGTGCACCCGTCCAATAGACAAGGCTGTACACGTGAGACACGCCGACGCCGGGGCTGGCCGAAAGTAGACGCTGAAGAAGCGTTCCCTTCCCAGTGTCCTGATGCAGAGGTTTTCTCCATAGAGAACGTGCACCTGGCCCGGCCTGATGGGGAAGGGGCAGGTGCCCCAAAGCAGAGATAGAACGCCCCGCGGCGGCAGCAGCGTGACCCTGAGGTGGCAGGTTTGGGTGCAGATGCCTGAAGGGGCCTGGGTCTGATGGTTCTCGTGTGTGTTTTCGCTGACCAGGAGCTGAGAGAAGACAACTTCACGTTGATTGATACCAAGTCCATCCTGGAGGAACAGCTGACGGCGGCTCGGGCCCGGGTCGATAAGCTGTACGAGCTGGAGAAGGAGAACCTGCAGCTCAAGTCAAAGCTGCACGACCTGGAATTGGTACGGCAAGTCGTTGTCCTCACATGTCCCGCAGGCGGGGCCATTGCAGGCTCACGTTGTGCCCTTCTCTGAGGTTCTGCTGCTGGGCTGGGGCTGCTGCCCACACAGAGACCCGCCAACTGCGGAGACTTACTTGCCAAGCTCACCAGCATGAGTGGACACCACTTAAGGCCCTCAAAACAGACAGGGCCTGACTTGCATTGCTTTTCTGTAAGGATGGTTGTACATGGGTGGCTTTTGCAAAAAAAGGTCTCTGCTGGTTGAGCTATGCTTTGGGAGTTCCTACAGCCATTCCAAGGCATGTGAAACCTGCTAAGGGACCGCAGAGCTGCCCTTCATCATATTACCTGCTTTAAAGCCCTGTGCTGTGCGCCACTTTGTTCAGACACCACTCAGAGACATTGGGTGTCTTCACCACCTAGGCCACTGGGTCAGCGTGTCTTTTAGTGGCTGTAGGTCTCCCAGCTGGGCCCTGTGTTGCAGTCACTTCTGTGCAGCTGTGTTTTGAGAAGTTAGCAGGTGCATGGAGCCCTTCATCCTGGGGAAGGAGGGTGGGTGCACAGGGGCGGGGCCTGTCCAGAGGGTGGCATGGGGGGCATCCCCACCACTCCCTCTTTCTGCACTAGGACCGGGACACAGACAAGAAGCGCATTGAGGAGCTGCTGGAAGAGAACATGGTCCTCGAGATTGCACAGAAGCAGAGCATGAACGAGTCCGCCCACTTGGGCTGGGAGCTGGAGCAGCTCTCCAAGAGCGCAGACCTGTCAGACGGTAGGCAGCAGCCCCGGGGGCCTGGGAGCCAGGCTGGTTGCGGTTTCTCCCTCCTCCAGGGAGCTCAGCCCTTGGCTCTGAATCTCCTGTGTGAGCCCATCCTCACTCCTAGTGAATAGGGTTTTATTCAAGGGCCATTGGAACTGTTTTCATTGCAATTCTCCCCAAGGGGAACTTGAAGAGTCTGGCAGCCTTGAAGTCAGGACATGAATTACAAAGTAAGTGTTGTCAGATTTCTCAGCTCCCATGCGGACAGTCCCAGGAGCTTCCAGATGACAGCACGCTGACACCCAGAGGATGGTTTAGATCTGTCCATTGCGGATTGAAAGCTCTGGATGGCAGGAGCCTTCCCCAGAGGTCACAAACCTCCAGTATAACTAACCCTGGGCATGATTTCCTCGGTTCATCTCATAATTGGGCAGATGGGTACAATCTGTTCTCTGTCTCCCTGGGAAGAGGCTGCTATGTGTCTTCTTCTTAGGGGAGTCAGGCCTCTTCCCCTTCTTGTGCGTGCCCCTCTCAGCCCCCACAGGAGGTGTGGGGTTGGCCAGGGGCAGGCAGTGCACCCTGCAAATAAGTAGCCACTTCCTGTGCTCAACATCACATACACCTGAGCCCAGGAGGGACTTGGAGTGGGAGAGGTGCTGCTTTTCCAATTCTGATCAACATCCCTAAGCATCAGGGAGAGGCTATTGAAAGCAGCTGGATATTCCTTCTCTTCAAAGGTTGCCATCAGTTCCAGACCTAAAATCAGTTCATTGAGCTGTGAATCCGTGTGAGAAGTCAGTTCTTTCTGTGGTTTGGTGTCTCAGCACTCCTGGCGAAAAGGGGACAAATCAGGGATCCCTGTTCTGGAAGTTCAGATACATAGGGAGGACACTGCCCCCTGGTGGAAGGCAGGAGTGGTGCCGGCTGGCAGGAAGCTCTCAGACCTAATGTTTCTGTGAGAGACCAGGGAGGCTGGGGGTTGGCACCCTCCCTGCCTCAGGCACTCTCTGTAGTTTGTGAGCCCTTTCAGTTCAGGGCCCATGACTTCTTGGTGTTCCCATTCCTGCTGCTCAGCTGGCAGCTCATGAACGAAGCGTGAAAGTACTTTTGCGTGGATGGTGTGGTGGCTTCTTGAGTCAGAAAGGCCTGGCTTCAAGTCTTGGCTCCTCCACCTGTTAGCCAGGTGACCCCTTTTAAATCTGTTTTCTTATCTGCACAATGGGGGTGGGGAAGCTGCCTCGCAGGATTCCTAGCGTATCTGCTGTGCCTGACCCCGGGGCACCAACGAAGGATGGCTGTTGGCATCCCCACTAGATCCTTCCAGCCCTGAGGGGGTGAACAGGAAGCAGGTGGGGTGCAGCCCTAGGAGCAGTGCAGTGTAATAAGGCTTCCAGGGCTGAGGATGTGGGCCTGGAGCGACAGGTGAGGGAGCACCCCAACCCCTCATCCATTCGTTTACCCAAAGTCACGCCCCTCCTTGTGTCAGGAAGGAGCTGAGATCTCCCATTCTTCTCCAGTCTCTGCTCCTTTTCTGTTCTGCATTCAAGCTGTATAAAAGCAAAGGAGAAAATCTGCCTTCCTCTGTCTTTACCTTATGTTGATCTGGCTTAGACTTTTTCAAGCCATTTAGATCTACTGTCCGATTCTTTTTTCAGTGCGGTTGTGGCAGTACAAAATGAAATGTGTCCGAAGGCCCTGTTCAGGGCTGGTAAGTACTGGGCATACTTGCCCCAGAGACTCTACCACCTGCAGACATACTGGTCATTTATCACGCCTCCCACAGCTTAGCTGAGCCACCCAGACCCCCACCACTCTGAGGGCTGGCACAGAAAACGACTGCCATCTCTTTGCCATCTCAGTCTCTGAAATCCTTGGCCTGATGATCAGCTTAGAACTTGGTAAAAAGTGGTTTCAGCAGTTTCACCATCTTGAGGTGTTGCATTGGCCTCTCCACCGTCACCTTCTTCTTAAGCTCCGGATTGCTTCCCTACCAGGCCCCAGCTGAGGCAGCAGAGGGGCCATAACCGCCTGAGGAGCCCTCAGGTGCTGACAGCAGCAGCACCCTGTGAACAATGGAGGGCACCCAGCCGTCCTTCCCAAGCCCCTCACACCTAGAGCTCGGGGTAATGGTTCTGACCCAACTTTGCTCTTCAGCTTCCAGGAAGTCGTTTGTGTTTGAGCTGAACGAGTGCGCCTCCAGCCGCATCCTGAAGCTGGAGAAGGAGAACCAGAGCCTCCAAAGCACCATCCAGGGGCTGCGGGACGCCTCCCTGGCCTTGGAGGAGAGCAGCCTCAAGTGTGGGGAGCTGGAGAAGGAGAACCAGCAGCTCAGCACAAAGGTAACGGGGCCTGGCTGTCCCTGTCCTGACCAGCAGGGCTGGCTTTGCTTTCTCCCCCGAGCCTGGCACGTCCTGGGTCCTCCCTGACGTTAGAGGGATGGGGCGCCTCGCAGTCCGCTGAGCACCACAGGGGACATGGCCCGACACTGGCCTTCCTGGAGCCAGGACACAGCCTTGGGCGCGTCCAGATGGCATGGTCACTCAGAGGCCTCTGAGAAGGAGGGCACAGGGTCAGCCAGGACACGGCTGCCCAGAGTCCTAGGCATCCTGGTGCCTGCTTGGCTCTCCCACCACCCGAGTGTCGCCCAGGCTGTCGGCTGACTTCGGTGGGAAAAGTCTGTAAACCAGAGTTCCCGAAGTCCATATCCCTCCCTGAGACTCACCATACCTGCTGTGGGCCTTAGAGATGGTGCCTTCCCATGCCTCATTTGCTTTGATGTCCTCAGTTCATTCCTCCTGCCAGGAATCCTGGTTTTGAGAGGAAAAGGGGCATCTTTTCCTCTTGGAGGCCCATCATGGGAACAAAAGCCCGGCACGGGGGCTGCTGGCAGGTCCCTGGCACCTGTGTGCTCTGGGGCCCTAGAGCCTCACCACATGAGCCCTTGGCCCAAGCCTGGTGCCCGCACGGGGAGGATGGGAACCCCCTTGGGGCCAGCCCCCATCTCAGCCCAGAAAGCTCTCCCTAGAGGAGGTCCTTTGGGGATGGACAGGCATAAGGAAGGGCCCTGGTTCCATGACAAAAAGAACCAAAGAAAGAAAGATGGCGGGGTGTCTAGCAGTGGTGGGCGGGATGTGGGCAATCACATCTTCCTCCTAAAAGCAACAACAATCAGAAATGCAAATGTTGGAATCTCATTCCTTTCTCTGTGAGGGAAGGGGCGGCAGGGGTGACGCATTAAGAGTAAGGTGGGAGCAGGGGTGAGCAAGGTGGGGGGTTGGAGGACACACACTCCAGGCCCCAACTGAGTGAGAGCAAGGCTGGTGCCAGCCCATTGCTGTGCGTTGAGCCTTGCCTGACCCTCAGGATAGTAGTGGACAAGGCCTGAGACAGAGGCAGTGCGAGTGAATAGGGGGTAAGCTGGGAGGGAAGCTGACCGATTGGTGCCCATGGCCTTTTTCTCTACCATGAGCCTGAAGTGCAAACCGTGTGGGCTGAGAGGAGATGGTCAAGGGTGTGGGGAGCTCATTCCAGAACAAGGCCTGACCTGAGGCAGCGGCTCAGGGACGCCACCTGGAGCCAGGCTTCCCTCCTCCTGCTCTGCCAGCCTTGGCAGTGGCTGCTGTACCTCCCCAAGAAGCAGACAGGAGGGTTTTTCCTTGAGAAAAGGCCTGTGAGAGTGTTCTGTGGGTGACAGGGTTCGGGTCTGCTGTGAAACATCGTTCACTTCGTGAAACTGACTTTTGCACGGGCCGGGTCTTTGGTTTTGCAGATTGAAAAATTGCAGCTCCAGCTGCAGAAGGAAAAGCAGAGCAACCAGGATTTGGAGACCCTCAGTGAGGAGCTCATCAAAGAGAATGAACAGCTGCACAGTGACATGGAGACCCTGAAGGCTGACAAAGCCAGGCAGGTAGGCCTCTAGAGCTCATGCCTCCCCTGGCTGCAAGGGGGAGCATGTCCTGGTCATTGATCAGTGATTCGGGGTGACCAGTTCCTCACTCACCTGCAGCTCAGAGCAGCAATCCTCAGCTGCAGCAGGGGGATGGGGACAGGTATCTCCTCCCAGGGACACTGGCCATCTCGTTTTTGATTGACAGGACATGGGGGCGGGTTGGAAGGGGAGATGCTCCTGGCTGTGCTGCAGTGAGGCCAGGGATACTGCTGAATGTCCAGCAGCCCCCGGCACAGAGAATGATCCCGCTCCATATGTCCAGGGTCACCGTGGCAAACCTCCACGGCGGATCCGCCTGGCACTACCACAAGGCCCAGGGATGGCAGCCCAGCATTGGGACAGTGGCTCAGTGATGCCACTCAGGGGCAGGTTTCCCTTTTCCTGCTCTGCCACCCTTGACAGTGGTTGTTGTACCCCCAAAAAAAAGTGGGCAGGAAGAAGGTGGAGGGTGAAGAGACAGAGGGAAGACCTCCCTAGACCCTCTTATCGACATGTCATTGACCAGACACAACACATGACTACCCCTAGCTGCAAGGGAGGCTGTGTATCAAGAACTTGGGTTTTTCAGCTTCTCTAGTAGAGCAGAAAGTGGGGGATGGGATAGTGTTCTGAATAGTGAAGAGACAGGCGAGGGCCCCCTCTCTTGTATTGTCTAGAAGGAAGAATGATAGGTGACAAGCCAGGTGACTTCAGATGCGTGCTATTGATGGAATATACGTGGTCCAGGGAGAGTCTTGCTAAGTGCAGGACGTTTGGAATCATGCAGGGCCTCTCTGAGGAACTGACACACTGAGCTCTGGAGGATGAGAAAGAGCCAGTGGTGCTGAAGGCCAGGGGTGGAGGCCGGTGAATATTCACGGCAGCGGGAAGATCACGTGGAATGTCTGCAGGGGAGAGTGGTGTGAGGAGTGGCCACAGGGGTGGGTGGCCAGCTCGTCGGGGTCCTGTGCACCAGGATAAAAAGCACCGAGGGAAATCACTTGCATTGTTTTAAGTAAGGGGAGGTGTGGCTTATGTTTTCTAAGTCTTCCCGGCTGCTCTGAATGTGTATTGACTTCACCTGCCTCAGTGGGGATCTTCGTGCCCTTCACCTAGTGTCCATCTCAGGCCTCCGGAAAAATGAGGAGGCCATGGTGGAGTGTCTTTCCCAGGTCTATTCTTCAGTCCCCCAGTTTGGACCAAATCACCGGAATACTTTTGTGCGGCCACCTGTGTCATTTCCATTATGTTTTCCTGCAGATCAAGGATCTTGAGCAAGAAAAGGATCATCTCAACCAAACAGTGCAGTCACTGCGGGAGAGGTCAGAGGTCAGCAGCGAGGTCCGCGTGAAGGACATCGAGAAGGAGAACGAAGCCCTCCACCAGACGGTGACGGAGACCAGCAGCAAGCTCAGCAAGCTGGAGTCAGAGCGGCAGCAGCTGCACCGGGACCTGGAGCAGGTGAAGGAGAAGGCGGCGCGGGCGGAGGGGCTGGAGAAGGAGATGCACCGGCTGGAGAAGGAGAACGAGAAGCTGGCCCGGGAGGTGACCTCGCTGACGACGGCCACCGAGAAGATGGACACCCTGGAGCGCGAGAGCCAGGGCCTGTCGCTGGAGAACCGGAGGCTGCAGAAGTCCCTGGACACTCTGCAGAACGTGTCGGTGCAGCTCGCAGGCCTGGAGCGGGACAACAAGCAGCTGGACGAGGAGAACCTGGAGCTGCGCAGGATGGTGGAGGCCATGCGCTTCACGGGCGCCAAGATGGCTCAGATCGAGAGGGAGAACCAGGAGCTGGAGCGGGAGAAGGAGGAGCTGAGGAAGAACGTGGAGCTGCTGAGCACCCTGAGCAAGAAGTCGGAGCGCCTGGAGCTGAGCTACCAGAGCGTGAGTGCCGAGAACCTGCGGCTGCAGCAGGCCCTGGAGCGGGAGCGCGGGGAGCTGGAGGCACGGAACCAGGCCCTGCAGCGGGACCTGGAGGCCCTGCAGCGGGACCTGGAGGCCCAGCGACTGGCCAGCAAGCAGCTGGAGAGGTCCGAGAAGGACAAGGAGGCCCTGGAGCAGGAGGTGGCCCAGCTGGAGAAAGACAAGAAGCTGCTGGAGAAGGAGGTGAGTCGGCTGTGGCAGCAAGTGGAGTTCAAGGACACGGTCTTGGATGACATCACCACCAAGCTGTCAGCCGCTGAGAAGGAGAGCCGCACCCTGGACAAGGAGCTGGCACGCTGCAGGGACGCGGCCACCAAGCTGAAGGAGCTGGAGAAGGACAACAGAGACCTTACCAAGCAAGTCACCATGCACACCAGGACGCTGACCACCCTGGGAGAGGTGAGCGGGTGCAAGCAGCTCCTCCGGGGGCTCGGGGTTAATGTCTTTGTCCAGAGCAGCACAGGTGTGCCATGAGGGGTGTGCTTCCAGATCGAACTGGGACGGTGTGTCCTCCTTCGATGCCTTCCTTGGTTCTAGACAGGATAGTGCCGAAAGGTAAGAAGAACCGACTGAAACGCAGCTGTTCTTTCACTGCCCAGAGATAACCCGGACTCTGGCTGACTTATTTTATTCCAGCATTCCTCCCATGCATATCATGTACACGCACTCACACATGCACATGCACACGCACACACAACGTCCATTCTCTGCATCCTAACCCTATTGTATTTGTTATGCCTTTTCTCATTACGTTAAATAAGCTTTATATCCTAGCTGGTTTGGCTTAACGGATAGAGCTTCATTCTGCAGGCTAAAGGGTTCCAGGTTCGATTCTCGTCAAGGGCACATGCCCAGGTTGTGAGCTTGATCCCCAAAGGGAGCGTGCAGGAGGCAGCCAATCGATTCTCATCATTGATGTTTCTCTCTCTCTCTCTCCCTCTTCCTTTCTCTCTGAAATTAATAAAACTATATTTAAAAAGTAAGTTAAGCTTAAAGTCACATATAACTTACTGTAATAATTTTCTTTCTTTTTTTTTTTTTTTTTAAGCATTTAGGCTGTTTTTTATTTTTTTTTACTATTTTTTTTTATCAACCATTTATCCCCGTTATGTTCTCTTTCACTTCCTCCCACAATCACCACATGGTTCTCTCATGTTCATTAGTTCTCGCTTTTTTCTTCTTTGTTTGCCTAATCCCTCCATCATTGTCCTGAACACCCACCCCCCACCAGAGCTACCTGCCAGCTCTCTATGTATGAGTTTTTCTCTATTTTGCTTGGTGGTTCTATTTGCTCATGAAATTCCCATATGAATGAAATAGTACGGTACCTGCCTCTCTCTGACTAGCTTATTTCACTTAAGATAACGCTCTCTAGGTCCACCCGTGCTGTCGCAAAGGGTTGTTTCCTTCCTTTTCATGGCAGAGTAGTGTTCCATTGTGTAGGTGTACTGATGATTTTTAAGTCATCATATCCTCATTCAGTCTTTTAAAATGTTTAAATTCTCCACACTTTTGTCTCCTCCACACTTTGATGCCATAGTTCACACTTAGCTGTCTCCTCCTCCTTTTACTTTTTACTTATGTGTCTCCTCATTCAGTCTTTTAAAATGTTTAAATTCTCCACACTTTCGTCTCCTCCACACTTTGATGCCATAGTTCACACTTAGCTGTCTCCTCCTCCTTTTACTTTTTACTTATGTGTCTCCTCTCCTTTAACGAGGGCTCCGGCCGAGGGAGGGCCGAGTGGGCGGGAGCTGTGTGAGGAGAACCCAGGGCGGGGCTCTGGGATTAGAGCTTGGACGTCAGCCCTCCTGGTTTCCTGTGTGGATTCACCCCCGGTAGCTCGGAGGGCATCTTCCTCGGGCACATCTTTCCCCTGGCGGGGTGCCGGGTGGGGGGAGGGAGCCTCCACTATGTTAAGTAACACTGGACATGTGCACCTTCACAGACAGATTTCTTTTCTCAGGATTAGCCTAGAAGTATAATTGCAGGACCAAAGGGTGTGGATTGTTTTACAGTTTCTTGGCAAATGGGTGATCTGCTTCCCCGGAATCTTTGGCCTGGGCCACGGGGCGTGTCTGCAGCATGTTAGGGGGAATAGTGCTCTGGTGCAGCTTCACCCGAATGGCCCGACACGGAAGCTGAGTCTCAAGCGTGTCGGAGCTCAGTGTGGCTGTCCCCGGGTGGCCCTGAGTGCAGCGCCTCGGGCAGCTGGCTTCTTCCATCCGGGGGCTCGGCCATCCCCTAGGGGAGTCCTCTCCTGGCTCCTTTGCATGTGGCCAGCAGAGGAGAGAGTGAGTGAGAAAGACCACAGATGCTTCACGGGGCAGAACCTAGTGACAGGGAGGCTGGGAAGTGTGTTCCAGGAAAAAAGGGAAATAGATTTGGCAAGCACAGGTCTCATCTCACGCTCACAAGAGCACAATCCTTGCAGGCAGATGAGCATGCTGCCGACCCATAGTCCCCGCCTCTGTGAGCACGGGTGAGGTTTTGCTGCAGTAACAGACAGCACCAGAACCGCAGTGGATGGCCACGTGCAGGCTTACTTCTCACTCAAGAGCGTCCTGGTGACTCTCCCGGAAGCCTGTCACCTGTACCAGGACTCAGCCGCTTTTATCTGACAGCACCCCTACCTCAGCACCAGGTCTGGGCGGTGGCCATGGCTGGGGAAAGGCAGCTGGCAGGTTACACACCAGCTCTGCAGCTGGGAAGTGACCCAGGTCATTCCACACACAGCCCTCGGCTGGAACCTGTCACTTGGCATCACCTCACCGCAGGGTGGCTGGCGATTTGCCGGTGGAGTGAATGGGGAGCACCGTTCTCGGTCACACTGGTGATCCGAGCCTGTGGATTTGGAGGGCGCAGGCATGCATACAACAACTCTGTTTACCCAAAAATAAGACAGTGTCTTATATTAATTTTTCTCCCAAAGTTGCGCTAGGTCTTATTTTCAGGGGATGTCTTATCTTTCCATGCACTAGGTCTTATTTTCGGAGAATGTCTTATTTTCAGGGAAACATGGTAGCTGAGACACCGGGTAGAAAACTGTAGCTGCTGGAGAGCTGCAAAGGAGTGGGTGCAGGTGGACTAACTACAACCAACTCTCAATGAGAGTCGCACTTTTGAAAAGTAAATCAAAACCAGAATTTAAAATGAAATCTTCCTCCTTTTTTGTACTTTGTGGTTTTTTTCCAAATTCTCTGCCACAAGCATTTAATTACAGTCCTCCCTAAAAGAGGAGGTCATCGGAATGTGAGCCTCCTAACCAGAGATCCACGTAACAATGTTTCCAACACGCATGTAGATATGTGTGGACCTCATTGGACTGGCGCACAGCCACACTGGCGTGTGGCCTGGCCGTCTGCACTGGCTGGAAGGGGGTGTTCACCCTTCTCTCTGGAAGAGGGGTTCACCCCCATCCCCCCATCAGACCGCCGCCCAGCCCTAGTGACCTGGGAACGCACCTGCTCAGCCTTCCGAGGAGCCTGCGCTCGGCCGTCTCCGCTGGCTCCGGCCCAGCTCGTCCCCTCCCTGTTCCTACAGGAACTGGTGCTGGAGAAGCTGAAGAGTCAGCGGCTGACCAGCGAGCTGGACAAACTGGGCCAGGAGCTGGAGAAGGTCGGCCTCTGCAAGGAGCTGCTGCTGCAGGACGACAACTGCGACAGCGACCGGTGAGCACCCTCCCCGGGACATCCGTAGGCCCCACAGCCTGCGCCCGCCCCCGGTGCGCCCGCCCCAGCTCCCAGTCTGCTCAGCCTTCACAGCCCAGGGCCTTCGTCCTTCACATCTAGTCCCCTTCCTAGAGATTCCCAAGGAGGAGAGGATGTGTAGACTCTTTTGTCCACAAAAAGGCTACTTTTGTTTTTTTTTAACAGATGCTTTCATTTTAGAGTAGTTTCGGGTTCGTAGCAAAATCGAGGGGAAAGTATCGAGATTTCCAATATGCCTCCCCCACCATCACCGTCGCCCCCCATGGTGGCCCATTGGTTACTTGATGGACCTGCACTGACACGTCCGTGGTTTAATGAGGGACCAATCCTGGCGATCCTCATGTGGGCGTGGCGAGATGGATAATGACGTGTCCATTGTGGTAGTATCCATGATGTTTTTACTGCCTGAACAGTCCTCTGTTCCAACTACTAGTATTATCCCTTTCCAACACCCAGCCCTTTAATTAAAAAAACAACAACAAAAAAAAGCTTATTGTAGCCTTTTCCTGCAATGCTCTCCTAAATGATCTCATTTTTCAAGGGAATCCAGAGTCCTTAATTTTTTGCTGGGCTTGTAACTGACAGCATCCACGTGCTAGAGAATAGCACGGTGACCTTGGGCACGTGGCTTAACCTCTCTGAGGCTCAGTTTCCCCTTCTTGTAAAAAGCCCGTGATGACTCCTCTCTATGGCAATGGTTATGCCACTGCCCGGTGATGTGTGATGTGTCACAGGCGTGTGACAGGGAGTCCTGGGTGGGCTCTGACGGCATGCTGCCCGGTGCAGAGGGAACCCGCCTGATTGGGGAGGGAGGTGTGGCAGCTGGGTGGAAAAGGCAGACAAATGATAGTGTTGTGTCGTTGTATTCTCCAGAAAATACAAGATCTTGGAGGGCAGGAATGAATCGGCATTAAAGACGACGCTGGCTATGAAAGAAGAAAAGATCGTGTTCCTGGAAGCTCAGGTGGAAGAGAAGGCCAGCCTGACCCGCGAGCTGCAGAAGGAGCTCCAGGCGGTAAGAGCTGCTGCCAGGGACGGTGCTGGGTCCCGCCGGGAGGTCCCTGCCTCGCCCTCCCCAGTGCCTCGCCTGGTAGCAGAGGGGCAGCCTGGGTGCCCGTCTCATGGAGCCGCAGGTGGGAGAAAGCTATTTCAGATCATACCGTCAGGGCTGGATATCCAGAGAGAGTCAGGTTTTGGGGGAGAGGAGGCGAGATCTGGGGACCCTGGTGTGAACCTACTGAAACAGGCATGGGGCCCCAGACAGTCTCATGGGCACCTCCATGGGACACACAGGTGCACAGAGATGTGTAAGGATGTGCAAGTCTGCTCCTGGCGCACACCTGCTGACCACACGCATGCTGTCCACAAACATGTGCACACAGGCACCCTCCCGTCTCTCCTTTATGAATCCTTGGCATGTTTCTTGGTTGCGTGATTGGATAAGGAATCTAGAACAAAGCAATTCTAGAGCCGATAGGGGCTTTCTGACATCACCTGGTCCCTCTTCTCCCAGCTCACCTCCCTCTGAGGGGACGGACCGCTGAGGCTCAGGGGTGAGGAGACGTGCCTGTCATGTGGCTAAAGTCAGGCTGGGGCAGGATGGGGTCCCAGGCCCCTGCCCTTCCTGTCATCCTTGGAAGAAGGAGAGCAGGACTGAGGTGGTGTGCGCCTCCACCCCAGTTACCTTGTCCAGCCGCTTCGGGGGAGGGTGGGTGTGTGGGGGCCGATCCCTGGCCGCCGCGGGCTCTGCACCGGCCTCTTCCGCCCCACACGTGCCTCTGTGCTCCTGTGCCCACAGCTGAAGGAGGGCGAGCTCCTCAGGGAGGGGAAGCACCTACAGAACTCGCTGGGACACCCTGCGGGGACCTCGGTGGCCGGCCACCAGGAGGAGGAGGGCTGGGGGCCCAGCCACAAGGAGGCCACCATGGAGCTGCTCCGGGTGAAGGACCGGGCCATCGAGCTGGAGCGGAACGTGAGTCGCTGCCCCCCTCTCCCCGTCGCTCAGGCCATCCCACTCCTCATCCTCACTGGAGAAGACACCGGATGTAGAATCTGCTGGCTTAGCCCAGTCTAGTTGGACACTTCTTGATGTGTCCTGGCAGGTCCTAGGAGCTCTGAGTTCCTTCAGCATTCCTGACGTAAAGGCGAGGTCCCATTTCCCCACGGTGACCTTCCTCCTGCCCCTCAGACCTGGCCTGTGGCTCATGCTCCGTTTCTGTCCCTCTGTGTTGATGCTTTGTGCCGGGGTTGGCAAGCCAGGCTGGTGCCTGCTCCTGTAAAGAGGTTTCATTGGAACAGACACGCCCTTGGTGTACCTGTTGTGTGGGCAGGGCTAAGTGGTGGGGTAGAGACCACAGGGCTGGCACCCAGAATATTTACTCTCTGGCCCTTCGCAGGAAAAAGTTTTCCCATGTATGTCTGAACCCCGATTTTATTCCACCCTCCCCGTCGTCGTATGAGCAGATAGTGATGGTTTTCATCACCTGACGGGTGAGAAAGTGAGACAGTCCAAGGCCTGACCGAGGTCCCATGCTAGTGAAGTAGCCCATGGAGTCCGGCGACCCCGTGCCCTGGCTCCTGGCCAGGTGGCGGCACAAAGGAGGGCTCCATCAGCCTCATGGAGCAGGAGCCACCTCTGAGACACGCTCTCGGGTGTTCACCAGGAAACGGAGAAAAGCATCTGAGAGCAAGGGCACGCTTGCCTCTGCCTCCCGCTCACACCCCCAGTTCAGCAGAATCCCCTTCCTGTGTCTTCTTTTCTGTCTTGAAAGCACATACCCCCCAGAATTAGGTGTGGTTTTTCCAGGAGAGAACAGGCTCTCACCTGGAGGACGCTGGCTTTGGGCCCCAAAGCACCCACTTCTGAGGGTTCCTTACAACTCCAGCACCGTTCGCCGGGGGTGTCTGACGGCCTCGTGCTTCCCCCCAGAACGCGGCTCTGCAGGCCGAGAAGCAGCTGCTCAGGGACCAGCTGCAGCACCTGGAGACCCAGAACGTGGCCTTCAGCAGCCAGATCCTGACGCTGCAGAAGCAGAGCGCCTTCCTGCAGGAGCACACCGCCACGCTGCAGACCCAGACCGCCAAGCTGCAGGTGCGGATGGGGGGCGGGGGCCTGGGAGACGGACCAGCTCCGGACCTGGATGCCTCAGAGTCAGCAGGACAGAGCACGGGAGAGTTTGGGGTTCCGTTATGCCCTGTTTATAACCAGTTCTTTGTAGCCTCAGGGTCTTTGACGGTGGCGATGGTTGATGAGCTGGGTTCCGTGAGTGAGCACGTGGCTGCAGTCTCATGTTTCCCGATGTCTCCTCTTGGGAACTTTCTTAGGAATGACATGGAAAAGAGTCTCTGGGGTCGGCTAAGTTGGTTCAAGAGTTGACCAGGCTCCTTTACCGTCGGGCCTGGCAGAGCCTTTTTAAAGCTACTGTGGGTTATTCATCTCCACTGGGGAAGGCGGGCGTGAAGTCAAGAGTGCGTCCAGCAGACCTGGGCCACACGGGCCAGGGTGTTGGTTTGTAGTTATGGTTAACAGATGGTGGGAACACGCGTGATCGTTTTTTAATGCCGTTCCCAAGAGAAGTGTTTGCAAATACGTAACTCGGGGGTCAGGGACAGTAAACAGGAAACCATTTGGCAGAGAGATTGGGATTTGTTCTATTAAAATAAAATAGGGTCTTGGTTTGCAGTTCCGTTTTTGTTGTCTTTTTGCTATTGTCGTGTTTGCGTCTGGCTCGGACATCAGGGTCATTCTGGCCTCGGAATGAGTTAGGACGGGCTTCTTCCTCTTCAACTTCCTGGTAGTTTTGGATGTTGGATGGTTCTAGAGGTATCAGGTCAAACTGGCTGGTAGTGTTCAGATGTTTCTATATCTTTACTGATTTTCTATGTATTTAGTTTTTAATGGGCCTTTAATAGTCGTCCAAGAGGGTACCCAAGGTGCTTATCCAGAGAAAGGGCATGGTTGGGCCAAAGAAGGTCACGTGTGTGGGGAGGGGCGCAGACTCAGTTTAGCACCACGTGAGAGTCCATGTCTGCTGGACTGTCCCCTCAGGCAGAGCCCCTGTGGGGACCTGGTGGCCGGTCTCCAGGAGGAGGGCTGGGGGCCGAGCCATAGGAGAAGGCGGGCTGGGCTCTTCCAGTGCAGGTCCTTAATAGCTGGGTTTTGCCGCCCTGAGAGTCCCGGCTATTTTGGTGTCTGTGCTTGGCCCCTCACTATGTGCAGGGGTGCGGGGCTGGGGAGTCTGCGGCTCTCTGGGGTCTGCGCCCGGTGAGGCATCGTCACCTTCTCCCTCCCGGCAGGTGGAAAACTCCACTCTGAGCTCCCAGAGTGCCTCGCTCACTGCGCAGTACACACTGCTGCAGAACCAGCAGGCAGCCAAGGAGAGCGAGCACGAGAGCCTGCAGAAGCAGCAGGAGCAGCTGGCGGCCGCCCACGAGGCCCTGCTGCAGGACCACGCACGCCTGGGCGCGCTGCACGAGCACCTGTCCGTGGAGCATGAGGCCCTCCTCGGCCAGCACAGCCGCCTGAAGACCCTGCACCGGTCCCTGGAGCTGGAGCACAGGACGCTCGGGGAGAGGTGCGTGCCAGGCTCCCCAGGCTCCTGCTCCCTTCGCTCCGGCCCCTCGGGGTTCCTCAGGACCCGCTGCCTCACAGTGAAGAAAAGTGAATGGGACGTCCCCCTCAGCGCATTGGGGTTGGTGCAGCTGGAGGCTGAGGGGCAGGAGGGTCCCTGAGGGGAGAAGGGTGTGCCCAGCTGATCCCAGCTCTGGGAAACCATGAGTCAGCATTGGGGTGCCTGCTCCCCGGGGCATTCCTGCCCCCTCTTCCTCTCCTCTCCCAGCCAAGAATGAGGAGGGGACGTTCCTCACAGCTGCCAGTGGACACGGATGTGCCTTACCGGCTTCCAGGCCTTTTCTTTCCTACCCGAGTCTCAAAGCCTGGGCTTTTTTTTTCTTTTCTTTTTTTTTAATTTTGGAAACTTTAGAATATATGTCATGGTTCACAGTAGGGTAACAGAGGGAGGCTGATTTAACAGGGACTGGAAGGTACTCTAGGGACACGTCAAGTGGAAGGAGGGGGACTCCGGGACTGGAGGAAACCCCCCCAAAGCTGGCCCAGTGTCTGTCCCATCTGCCACTCTCCTGTTTCTCTGTCTGGCCTCGCTCCCTGCCCATCCCTGTCTCCCAGAGAGCAGCTCTGCAGAGAAGCCGCTCACGGAGGCTGTGCAGTCTCCTGCGGTGTCCGTTCCCAGCAGGTGTGTTTCCTTCCTCAGGCACGAGGACCTGCTGAAGCACAAGGCGGAGCTGGAGGAGCTGGAGAAGGTATTGACCACCGAGCGGGAGGCCCTGCAGCAGGAGCAGAAGACCAACGCCATTGCCACCAGCGAGAACCAGAGGCTGCGGGGAGAGCTAGACAGGTAACCGCCCCCGCCCCTGCTGTGGCATCTGCCAGGTTTCATTCAGAGCAGCTCACTCCGCACCACTGAGCTAAGCTCAAGCCAGTCTCCTGGCAATCGAGTATCTTTCCCCTCCCTGTCATGTCACAGCTGGACGGTCACAAGGTAAAGGCCCCGCCAGCTAGTGGCTGGATGGAAGGATAGCAACACTGGGATGCCGCATTGTCTAGGCTTGGGTGCCCTCCCCTCCCACCTTGATGATGGTGATGACTGTATCGGGCATGGGCCCCTTCATCCTCTACACCAGCCATCCCGTGAGGGAGAGACGCTCAGTCCTCGGCATTCATGCATTCCCTATTGGTGCCTTCACCTCCTCGCTGACTGCACTTGAACCCCAAATCCATAGCCGTGGCCTTTCATGGGCCTGTCCAGACTGAGCTACTGGAGTCGCCTGATGGGCACGTTTGCAGATGAGGTTGAACAAGACCTTTGGCTCCTGCCTTATTTCAGCTCTCACACTGCAAACCAGAGTCTCCTCTGTGGTCCATTGAGTGCCATGGAGTTCTGTTTTGTGCTTTTTGGTGGCGACATCGCTGTTTGAAATGGCCCCCAAATGGAGTGCCGAAGTGTCCCCAAGTGCAAGGCTGCGCTGGGCCTCACGGGGAATAAAGCAGCGCCACATGGGGTTCATTTTGGCCCCGGATGTGGTGCTCTTGGCTGAGAGTATATTACACAAGGCGGCTTGACGACCTGAACCATTGACAAAAATGTGGCCAGAGACTCACAGGAACCGGCGGGGGCACTTTCAGTATCCACTAAATGAGTGTTCTCGGTGGCTTGATAGGACATTATACCGTGAATCATGAGAATTGACTGCACTATTGTTATTCCTTTTCTTGAAAAACACACACACAATAAAAAACAGTTGAGGAAAGAGGCTCAGAGAGATTAAATAACTTGTTCAAGTTCATGCTCCTAGTCAGGATTCAAATCCAGGTCTTGTCTCAACCCAGAGGCAGGACCATATGAAGCCTTCCTTCCCACAGCCTGGTTTTAATATGTATCAGGGCTACAGGCTCAGGTGCCTCCAGTGGCCAGGCAGGCCCAGCAGGTGGGGAAGGAGCGTCAGCGTGAGAGCAGACCCTCGTGGAGAATACATACCCTTCTGAGGGCTGTGAGCGGGGAGGCAGGCCCCGGCTGCCAGGTCATCCTTTTGTTTATGCTTCTCCTCTTCCCCCCATAAGCTAGACATCTAAATGTTGATGTGAAACTAATTAATTTTACTAAAAAATATAAAAAATTTTAAGTGTTGATAAACTAATTAATTTACAAAAAAAAACTCTGTGAACCAAACTGGACATTTCTATGTTAGAATTGAGTCCATAAGCCTCTGGTCATGTGAGCTTTCTGGTATAAATCTTCCCCCAGTTGGATGATGATGATGATGATGATGATGATGATTTCAGTGGCTTTACATCATACTCAGAATCTCATATTTTATTTGTCTCACAAGTTGAAACTAGAAAGGGAATTGGAATTGGGAAGAAGAGCTGGGCACAGACATAGTTTTAAAGCAAAATGTTCTGATTCCATGTTTTTTAAAAGAGTTTTAATAGAAGAACCTTTTTTCCAAGTCGGCAGACATGCCAGAGCCTTCCATAGAAAGGACTTCTTCAGTCCAGATGCTCTGTTGAAGTGGTGTCCGCGCCTGCCTGGCCTGTCGGCCTAGCCCACAGAAATGCACCTGGACTAGCCTCCTAGAACCTCCACGGACACAGTGTGAAAACCACTGATTTTGTTCAATCTTCATTTACACATGGGAAAAACAGAGGCCCAGGTAGTTTTGATTAAGGTGCACATCGGGGATGGAGGCTGGGAGTGCTCCTCAGCCCTCGGCTCTGTGGCTCTCCACCCCAGGGTCAGCTTCCTGCACCAGCAGCTGAAGGGGGAGTACGAGGAGCTGCACGCCCACACCAAGGAGCTGAAAACCTTGCTGAACAACTCGCAGCTGGAGGTGAACCGCTGGCAGGCCCGGTACGATGAGCTGAAAGAGGAGCACCAGAGCATGGACCTCTCACTGACCAAGCTGGACCACCACTGTGAGGTGAGGCCTGGGCTGGTGGGCTCAGAACACCGGACTTGTGCCCCGGCCAACAGCCTTGGCTCAGCCAGGTCGGAATGGGTCCTCACTGGCATCTGTGCTCAAAGACTGTGTGTGAATGCCACACAGAGGCCGAGAGGAAGCTAGGGGCATTTGAAGGGGACAAACCCCATGACTGGTGGGGTTGTGTTAGAAACACTTTTCAGCCGAAATTGATTTGGCTCAGTGGATAGAGCATCAGCCTGCGGACTGAAAGGTCCTGGGTTTGATTCCAGTCAAGGGCATGTACCTTGGTTGCAGGCACATTCCCAGTAAGGGGTGTGCAAGAGACAGCTGATCGATGATTCTCTCTCATCGATCTTTCTCTCTATCCCTCTTCCTCTCTAAAAAAATCAATAAAATATATATATATATTTTTTTTAATTAAAGAAAAGAAACACCTTTCACCCGACCTTCGCTTTTTGCAGGATCGGACAGTACATGGAAACAGCCAAGTACTGCGTTTATTAAATATATTTTTATTGATTTCAGAGAGGAAGGGAGAGACAGAAACATCAGTGATAGGAGAGAATCACTAATTGGCTGCCTCCTGTACACACACCACCACCACCACCACTCCCCGTACCCCCCCTACTGGGGATCAAACCTGCAACCCAGCCATGTGCCCCGACCTGGAATCAAACTGTGACCTCCTGGTTCATGGGTCGATGCTCAGCCACTCACTGAGCCACACCGGCAGGCGCCATGTACTGTTTCATTTCTGAACCCTCGGCTGAACACTCCGTGCTCACCCGTGTCCTCTCATTGAATCCTTGCAGTGATTTGTGAGCTGGAGTACCCATCCTCGACCCTCTTAAGTAGTGAGTTGGAACCCAGTTTGTCTGAAATCAAAGCTTACAACTTTCCAATATCATCTCACTACCAACCGGGATGATATTCTAGAGCAGGAGTTGGCCAAACTCAGCCCAAAATTCAGATCTAGCCCCCCCATACCAGTTTTTATATATCTATGAACCGAACATGGATTTTACAGTTTTTAATGGTTGGGAAAAATCAAAGGAAGAGTGATATTTGGTGACAAATGAAAATGATATGAGATTTAACGGTCTGTGTCCAGGAGTAAAGTTTGTTGTGTATTTTTAACACTGCCCACCTAGGCATGTACATCCTATCTCTGGCTGCTTTCCTGTGGTCATAACAGAGTTGAATAGCTGCAACAGAGACCGCCACCCTGCCTGGAAAGCCTGAAATACTTACTGTCCCGCATTTCAGAAGAAGTGTGCTAGCCCCATCTAGAGCAGAGCAGTCCAATAGGAATATAATACAGGCCAGCATACGCAATACATAACTTTTAAAACTGAAAGGAAACAGGTGGGATTCATTTTAATTACATATTTTATTTAGCTGTTATATCTAAAATATCACATGTAACCCCCAAAAGCTTATTAATGAGATTTAAAAAAAAATTTTTTTGGGGGGGGGGGCAGGGAGAAACATTGATGAGAGAAACATGGATCGGTTGGCTCCTGCACACTCCCTACTGAGGATCAAGCCTGCAACCTAGGCAAGTGCCCTGACCGGGAATCAAATCTGTGACCTCTTGGTGTATGGAATGATGCTCAACCAACTGAGCCACACCAGCCGGACAGCTTATTAATGAGATATTTTTAAATAGTTAAATCCTCAGAACCTGTTGTATGTCTTTGCACTTATGGCACCACTCGGCTCAGATTGGCTGCGTTTTCAATATTCAGTGGCCACACGCAGCCAGTGGCTGCCTGATTGGATGGTGCATTTGGCCATCCCCATGGCTGTGTTGGTCCTTCCCACTGGCGTAGATCATACCAAAATGGCTCTCTTTGTGCACATGGCCTGTTTCTTCTTTTGGAGGTCAGTTCCCAGCAGTGGGATCATAGGAGGGTGTGTGAGACATTGCCCATGTGTGTTTCAGCTGCTCTCCCGTCTCAAGGGGAACTTGGAGGAAGAAAATCATCACCTTGTGAGCCAGATCCAGATGTTGAATGAGCAGAACCAGAGGCTGCTAGAGCAGAACATGGAGAACAAGGACCAGTACCACGAGGAGCAGAAGCAGTACATGTAAGTGGTGTGGGCTGGCCTGTCCGCAAAGGGGTCCTGGCTTCCAGTTCCACGCCTGGGCCTGGACATTCTGGGCAGAGGGCCCCCTGGCACATTAGTGTCCTAAGGGCAAGGGGACAGACCACCTTCCCAGCTCACCCTCCTCTTGTTTTCCCTGGAATGGTTCTAGATTTCTGCCAGTAGGGGTGGTTGGCTTTTTTATTTTTAATATATTTTATTGATTTTTTACAAAGAGGAAGGGAGAGGGAAAGAGAGAAACATCGAAGAGAGAGAAAAATCGATCAGCTGCCTCCTGCACACCCCCTACTGGGAATGTTCCCGCAACCAATGTGCATGCCCTTGACTGGAATGGAACCTGGGACCCTTGAGTCTTCAGACCGACTCTATCCACTGAGCTAAACTGGTTAGGGTAGCGTGGTTTACTTTTGTTTGCTTTTTAAAGTCACTGCCAGACACTTCTTAATCTGCTCTTAGAATTAAGTTCACTTTTTAAAAACATGACAGCTGTAAAGAGAGGTGCCTGGGGAGGAACTCAGATGGTGGGCTGAGCTGTTTCTGTGTGATTTCCCTTAACAGGCTGGAGAGAGGGTCATTGGTGCAGCATGGTTGTTGTTCTCCTGCCGACACGACACATTCCTGGCTTTGGCGTAGGCCCTGCGAGGTGCACAGACCAGTGACCTGGTGGCCAGGAACTAGTAGCATGATGGGATGTGAGCAGAGCTGTGTGCACAGCAGACAGATGATGAGGAGCTTCATAGAGTCCTAGAAGGAAGCGTGGTGGTGGGAGTTGGGGTGCTGCCGCTGACCTGGATGGGGACAGGGCGGCCGGTGGGGGGAGCTGAAGGTGGAGCACGGGGGTCTGGGTGCAGGGAAGGTGCAGGCAGTGGCAGGAGGGAAGGTGGCAGCAGGTGGCACCCAGCTTTGGAAGGCATCCATGCCCGGCTAAAGGGTCGGGATCACAGGGAGGTGAGTGTTGATGGGAAGCTGGTCTGCAGGCCAGAAGCTGCCAGAAAGGAGGGCAGGAGGAAGAGCCTTGGTGTTGGAAGCCTGTGGTTGGAAGTCAGGTAACCCGAGATGCATCTTGTGTGTCCAGGGTGGTCTTCCCCCCTTGGTGCCGTGCTGCTGGACTGTCCTTCCCTGTGATTAGGAATGGCTGGCCATGTGGGACAGAGGGACATGGTCAAAGTGACCACAGGGTCACGGTGCTGCTTTACTGTTCTCTCGGATTCTTCTGCTCGTCTACCTATCCAGGTTGGCCACCTACCCAGGATGCTGACATGGAAAGCCACACTGTAGTTTTGGGGTAGAGATGACTGTGGCCTGAAGTTGGCTCTCTGTAATGCAGCGGGTAAAAATGACCAACAGAGGTTGGGCAGGTGCCAGTGAGAATCATGGGGCCTGGTGCCCAGTGGTTTTGCATTAGACAGTGTCTGCAGGAGGCCAGGGAGATGGCAGGCTTGCTGAGCCTGCTCTGAGCAGAGTGTGCCCCAGTCCGGGGAGGGTGTGGTGGCTGCCCTGTGGGAGTCTGTGCACCTAGGGGTGGAGGGCTGGTCAGAGCCCTATGGGAAAGCGCTCTGGCAGAAGGCCAAGCAGCACGGCTGTGGGGAGAGAAGAGCACAGACGAGAAGAACAGTGCCAAGGGTGCTGGGAGCAGAGAGGGTGCTCAGGGGCCTAGCAGTTTGGGAGCCATCACTTCTCACGGGGCGCTTACTTCACGGTGAACTCTCGGGAAAACCCTGGTGATAGGTGTGACCTCGGCAGCTTCATGGCCCAAGGAGCCTGAGCAGCTGCCTCGGTCGGAGGACTCATTTTCAAGCCAGGAAGCCAGGATCTGAGCTGTTAAGGCCACAGAGAAGACGAGGAAACAGGACAGGAGCTGGTGGCCTGGGGGGGACTCTGGGACAAGACAAAATGAAAGCATGCCATGCCGTCTGTCTCAGAGAGGCCAGGCTCTCTCTCCCAGTGAGCGGGGGTGCCCTCCAGCAGCCCAAGGGTTAAGAGGTGTCTCTAGTCCTTTCTGTGTTTTTGAAAATATGAGCTGATTGCCAACAGAAATGAAAAGATTTTGCTTCACAACCTGGGTTTCTGGATCCTTCTGGTTGTCTCTGGTCCTTTCTGGGTTTTTGCAAATGTGAGCTGATTACCAACAGAAATGAAAAGATTTTTGCTTCACAACCTGGGTTTCTGGATCCTTCTGGAAAAAATATTCTGAGGTTCCACCACATCGAAAGCGGCGCTCAGTTCGCAGGGCCAGCGTTCAGTCCCACGTGGCGCCCTGCACTCAGCCGTGCCACAGGCCCCACCCCTCCCTCCTGTCTTCCCAGGCCCGCTTTGCTCCTCAGCTTCTCTGTCTGGCCCCCGGAAGGCTCTGAGTTCGCTTCCATGGAAGTGTATCAGAAACCCAGCATGGGGCCGGAACCGGTTTGGCTCAGTGGAGAGCGTTGGTCTGCGGACTGAAAGGTCCCAGGTTTCATTCCAGTCAAGGAAATGTACATTGGTTGCGGGCACTTCCCCAGTAGGGGGTATTTAAGAGGCAGTTGATCAATGTTTCTCTCTCATTGATGTTTCTAACTCTATCCCTCTCTTTTCCTCTCTTAAAATATAAATAAAATATATTTTTTTTTAAAAAAATACCCAGCATGGGAACAGGCCAAGGTCTGAGGTCTGACTTTGCTAAACTGACTTCTTTAACCTTCATGCCCACCTACCTCGCTGAGGGCAGAACTCTTTCCACCACTAAAGGTATCGCTTTTCTGGCCCCGCGGGAGCCAGCCTCGCCCTGTGTCCGGCCCCGAGTGCCCAACATCCCGAGTGGAGTTGGCCGGAAAGTCCTCCGGCTTTCTGACCTTGAGTTGCAGGTGACTGGGGGTTTGTTCCCCTACAATGACATGCAGCCTGATCCTCGGCACTTCAGCAGGTCTCCACCTGTTAGGTTCCCGGAGCCATGTCACCTGCTTCCGTCTCCATAGTCCTAACTCGGTGATGATGACCATCATGAGCAGTGTGATGTCTGAGTCTCAGGAAAATGCCGGCCATTCTGGACCAGGTCCCAGGCTGGGCCGATGAGTCAATTTATGTGTCCTGTTTTAAAAACCAGATTGGTTTTTTTTTCTTTTCTATTTATAGAGACAAACTAAATGCCTTGCAGAGACAAAAGGAAAAACTGGAAGAAAAAATCATGGATCAGTACAAGTTCTATGATCCCGCTCCAAAGAAGTGAGTCAACTTAATTAGCAGTAACTTAAGCCAAAACAGAGAGCTTGCTCTTTCCCGCATGGGGGAAGCTGTGGCCAGCTAGGGCAGGGACCCATTTGTTGGGCTGCACCTTCCCCTCTATGGCAGGTCCCCTGTGTGCACGTCTCCCAGCTCTGGAAGGATTTAGAGTTTCTTTCGGTCCCATCCTCTGTACTCAGGGTGGTCCTGGGAGGGATGGCGAAGGCCAGCTGGCCATGAGCCTGTGGAAGGGACAGAGAGTCTGTGGTTTAGAGCCACTGAAGCAGGACCCTCAGGCTGTGTCCCCAGGTTTCAGGACCTGGAATGCCGTGTTTCTGTTTGGGGAAGGAAGCGTGGTCCAGACACCTGGGCCAGCGCCCATGGTCTTCAGGCACAGGAACCTCTCGGTCTTCCCTGCATTCCTCCGGAGTCTCTGGGCCCCAGGTGGGTCACAAACACGTTCCCTTCTGCAGAGCAGCAACCCTGGGCGGGGCGGAGGGGGCCGGCTCGGTCCCCAAAGCTGCTGGCCCGCTCCGTGCGCAGGCCTAAGCCCCAGGAGCTGGGCCTTCGGATTGTCCTGTCCCTGCCCAGCCTTGAGATCATATCACCATGAATCCTGCAAGACCTCTCTGTTGTCATCACAGAACCACAGGATGTCCCACCCTCCGCCTGACCCTTCTGTTGACAGGGGACTGAGGCATCGATGAGGAAATTAAACCATTTGTGTAAGCACGGTACTAGTCCGTGGCAGAGCCGGGATTAGAACCCACATGCAGCTCTTGTTCTAGCCAAATGCCTCCATTTCCGAGTAGATGCAATATATTACCCTTTAAATTCATTGTTTTTAACTCAAACGGCCCGCTCTGCCCTGCCCTCTTCCCCCTCACCCAGACTCCTCAATGCCAGGAATAGGCCGAGTGTGCCAGCCTATGTCACCTATTGCTGACTCCAGCTGACGGTGAGGTCCCCGACTCTTCCTGAAAAATGGTATTTTGATGGAAGAGTGCCAACAAGCATAGACAAGCACAGCACCTCTTCCTTACTTTACAGCGATCAAACGTTGAGAGCTGTATTTGAAGTTCTGTTTCCCCCGAGAGGCTAGCGTGGGTTCCTGTCACAGTGAACGCTCCTGCAGAATAGCTGCAAATGGTGTTCCACCCCTGAGCCCCGATCCGATGATCGGAGAGCACCAGCCTTCTGGACCCCAAGTTAATGGCCACTTCCCTGGCGGTGGATGGCACTCCCAGTGACCCACTGGAGGGGCCGTGAGGGTTGGCTGTGTCCTAAACATCTACTTCTGATAGGAAAAACCACTGGATTGGAGCCAAAGCCTTAGTCAGATTAATGAAACCAAAGAAAGAGGGACCCAGAGAACGACCGAAGTCAACCACAGACAGCCCTCCCTGGCCGCTGGAGTCCTCAGACCCGGCCTCGCCCAGTGCTGCTCAGCCTCCAAAACCCCAGCCGGAGCCCGCGGAGGCCACATCATCGTGCTCGACATGGGCGGAAGAGCGAGTCCCCCACAGAGCGCCTGTGGGGAAAGGTAGGGGCTGACTTGGCTGCAGGCGGGAAACGAGGGGGAGGACCTCAGGTCTCCGTGGACAGGGCAGCACCAACCACATGGCGTGCTGGGTGTGCACACGGGTGTAGGAGCCTGAAGGGCGTGTGCTCCCTCCTTAGATATGTGAACAACCAGATAGAAAATATAAGCTCATGTCAGTGTTGGGCAGTCTTATCCCAGAACAATTTAGTTCCTTCAGCATGAGACCCTCCCCCACCACATACAGGTGGTGGGTCCTGGAATGTCCATAGCAGATCTCCATACAGTTCCACAGAGAGAGCTCAAGAGGGTGTGATTTGGGGTTCCTTGTATCTTCCAGGCCTAGGATAAGCCACTTGTGGAGGGAGATCCCAGTGCATTTAACACGTGATGGACATGTGCAAGGTCTTCAGCAAGGCCTGGGGGGCTCTGATCTTTCTGTCCCACTGAATAACAGGTGGGGCTCTCTTCTCCCACCTTCCTGGCCTTGAGTTCTCCCACCAGGGGGCGCTGTGCCTGGTCATTCAGGGCTGTGGATGGGAGTGAGCCAGAGGTTCCACAATGGATGTCCAGTTGCATGAGCTGCATGTGTTTCATGAGATCTGAGAGCTGTCAGTTAGAAGCTGCACGATTATGTGCCCATAAAAAGAAATGAATGGATGGTGGCAATGACCATTTTATCAGAATTGCCACCTAACCGACAGTGACTCTGAGAGATGTTCGAAGCTGCATCCTGATTTCAGAGATGAGAGGTTTGGGAATGAAAACGTGCATCTTATTATTGATTTAAAAAGCCCTTGTCTTAAACGTGGCTTCCTTTTTAAATTCACTTTTAATTAAATATAATTGTGTAGATTATTTACCTGTAAGCCTGCCCAACATGCCCCTGAGAAAGCTAAACATTAGGAAGGACACTAGGGCTTTCTGAGGACCAGGGCCGTGCCTGAGACCCCTGTGCTCTCAGAAGCTGGCGTCACAGCACCTGACAGGACCCAGGGCCTCCGACAATCCGCCTTCGGAGTGTGACGTGTGCACAAGCCTCTCCGGGTGGCATTCACCACTTCATGTCCTGGTGTGTCACTCAGGATGCAAAGGTGAAGTGTGCACACGCATGCCCCCTGTGTGGGGACTGATGCTTGCTTTCCCAGTCTGTACAGCAGGTGAATGCTCTCGTGCAGGTAGATGATCAGGAAGCTTACTAAATCTGTTTTACCTAGAGGGGTTCTGTTGCCTCAGGATTTCATACGGCTCCTTAAATGTTGTGACATTTATCACCTCATCTTGAGTTACATTGACTTAATGAATATAATCAGCCTAATTGAGTTAGCAAACCTTTCAGAGAAAAAAAAGCTTGACTGATCCAAACTGTCGTTGGGCTCCATGGATGAGCAGGCCGGTGGTAAATATTAGTAACGGCAGCCGTGCAGTGGGGCTTCCTGGGCTCAGCACTGTAGGTAGTGCACCTGCTTTATCTACCGCCTTCAGGTCTAACTGCCGGGGAGGTAGGCACGATTCCTACCCCCTTTTCAGAGCTGGGAAAGTGATGTTTGACAGGTTAAGCACTGGCCCAGAGAATAAGTGGTGGAGCTGGGATCTGAACCCAGGTCAGACAGATTATGGGGCTTGAACTTGAACCCCTGTGAGCACTGCCTGCACTTCAAGCTGCTTTGGTCCCTGAAGATGCTGAACCAGCCTGGGCCCCTGCATTTAGTAGTCAGTCCTTATCCTGTGCTGTGAGCTTTGGCCAGCAGGTGGCGCTGTGGGGAAAGAAATAATCCTGGTTAGACTTGAACCCTCAATCAGAAATCATCTGGTAAATCAGTTATGTTCAAGTACATGTCTGCTCTGATCAGACTGTAATTTAAAGGCTGTGAAGGGGAGATTTAGATTTGAGGATGCATAGGGATATAAATGGAAATAATTATTGATGGAGAGGGTGTTTTAGTATCAAAAGGGTATTTTCATTACTTTCAAACTCATCCTGCTACAAGAGGTTATTTAGTAATGAAGAGTTCAAGTAGGTTATTTCATTACAGCGGGCCAGAAACATACCACTGAGTGTCCCAAAGACTTTGAACAGGAGCAGGAGTTAGTTGTGTGTGAGCCACGTTGTCAGGGAGCCTGTCATTAAAATGGATGAGTAAGAAAAGCCAGGTCCTAAATTAATAACCATTCTTATTTAATAATTTAACACATTGAAACTGAAAAATGGTCTAACGCATCAGCTCCTAGAGCAATATAGAATTCTCACGTGCCAAGGAAAGCATTGGCACAAGGGTGCCACTGAGTTAACTAAACGGAGTCGGAGCCTAAATGATTCACCGAGTCCTGGTTCTGGTTGAGCCGTGAGTATTGTTTCCATCTCTCCTGGGCTGGGCAGGATTCTGATTCCCAAGTATGTTTAGCCAATGTAGCGTCATTTGTTATTCATTTCATTTATTTACTTTTTTTTTTTTCCTTCCTCTCTTGGGTTATCCAGGGGATAACAATTTAGCAACTCGGTGCAAAAAGAGTCCCTTTTTGAGAAGCAAAAGCAAGGACAAAGACAAGTCTCCAACAGCCCACCCGGCTTTCTCTAAACGCCTGCGGTTCTGGTCTTCCTCTGACATCCCACCTGCCTCTAACTACCCTCTCCCTTTCTCAGAAATTGGAGATTTCTAACCCTTTCCCTTTATCAGTGTCATCATCATGCACCCTCCTTCATTTCTGAAATCCAAACAAACAAACCTAGAACAGTATCTAAAGGCCAGATGACCCATAATGGACCCCTCCTCCTGACCCCAATTCCAATCCAAGCTTAATGCAACCAACGTGGATTCTGATTTCAAAAGAAGATGAGTTGTCACACCCTCTGGACGGCACTCCAGCGCAGCGCAGGGTTAGGGGAGCCTCGGAACGGCCATGCACAGGCCCGTGGGCCAGGATGTCCGTGCTCCGTGAGTCCCCACCTGGCCTCGTGCTGCCCTCGCCCGCACCCGCAGGCTTGTATGTCATGCCGTGTGTCACGCAGAACTGATCCACTGTCACTGTGCTTCCTAAAATGTGCGGCCTCCGTAAAGACTTGTTTTTAAGCAGCTACATTTGAAACCACTGCCCTTTCCCCTCTTCCCTTGTCGGAGCAGGGGATGGCTGGCTTGTGCAGATAAGTCCCTTTTTAGATGTGCTCTATGTTTTGAAGAATTTATTGCTGCACTCAAGCATGTTGAATAATTGAATGGATGTTGCTTAGCCAGGAGTTCAGCCCGGAGTGCTGTTTTAGGACCGAGCCATGGTCCTCTGATGTCTTGGATGCTGCTGTGAGGGCAGAGTGGACGGACAGGACATCAGCTCCCAGTCCCCGTCCGTGCTGGGAGCGCTGGTCCACAGGGGCCTTTAGCTACTGCCCTGCTTTCTGTCTTCAGCCATCCTCACACCATCTCCATGCTTTTGCCATGTCTGTGTCACCTCTGTGATCACTTACATGTTTCCCCTTGAATCGATCCACCGTTCCCATTTAACTTTACTTTGAAAGGAAAAGTTATTATGGGTACTGTACATGGAAAGCCAGTATCACCATGGGAACAAGGTAATCATCGACGTAAATCCGTGACTGCTGCACTGTTCAGTCCGTTGGTGTGGCACTGACCTCGTCTCATGCTCCTGCTCTGGTTCCCGGGCAGCCACGTCCCGGTCCTGCGCCTGTCTTCCCAGCATGCTGTTTGGAAATGTGTGGTGTCTCTGCCATTGCTGCTGCTTGCTCACCTCCGCCTCTCCTCTGCTCCTCGTGTTAACTGCATGCAGTGGCCGCCTGTCCGATTCATCCCACCAGCCTTGAGTCTTGCTTCTCATCAAGGTTACCTTTCAGAATCCAAAATGTCCCTTGATTTTGAAGTCATAAGACTTGGGTGCTTCAGACTTGACCGTGAGTCCAGACATTGAGTAGCTGAGGGTCGGGGGGGTTCAGGTCCTGGGAGAGGGTGGAGACGGGTCAGAATCCTGACAGCGGACACGGCTCTGGGTCCACGCCCTTGGGCAGCCTGGAGCAGGACACTATGCAAAACAGCCTGGTCCTCATGCTTCTGGAACTCGCCCCACATCCACTTCTCCCTTGTGTTTGGAGAGCCCAACCCCTTCCTACTAAGAGGTCGTTGAAGATCTTTTAGGTTTTTTAATTAGGATTTTATTTAACTTTGACAAGAGTATATGTTCACGGTAGAAAATTCAGAGATTGCAGAAAGTTCAAAACACCAGGTTCAAAACTCTTGCAGGGATGAAGACTTCTTAAACAAATGGTTGTTAGGGCGGCAGTAAACTTCTTTCTCAAATCCAAGGGCGCACTTCCTGGACCTTGCAGGCCAGGCCCAGGTCTCCGGTGGCCCTGAGCAGACACCCATCAGGGTTTTTTTCTTTTCTATCCTTTTTTTTTTTTTTTAATATATTTTATTGACTTTTCACAGAGAAGAAGAGAGAGGGACAGAGAGCTAGAAATATCGATGAGAGAGAGAATCATCGATCAGCTGCCTCTTACACATCCCCCACTTGGGATGTGCCCGCAACCAACGTACATGCCCTTGACCGGAATTGAACGTGGGACCTTTCAGTCTGCAGACGGACATTCTATCCATTGAGCCAAACCGGTTTCGGTGCATCAGGGTCTTTGAGTGACAGTGTTACACTACAGGAGGGCCCAGTAGTTAAAGTGTTGGGCTTTTAGCAGCGTTTTGTTGAGCCTCTTGAGTTGGTCCTTTATTTTCTCCCAGCTGCTGGGGCTCGAACTGTGATCTGTGGTGAGAGTGAGGGCCGGCCTCCCGGGTCCTCCAGTTCAGGCCTATGGCCAGGCCCTGCCATTCAGGCCACAGCCCGTGAGGCGCGCAGCCCAGCTTTGTCCCTGTGCTCTGTGTGCCTGCCACCTCTGCTTCTAGGCTCGGTGTGACCGCCCCACCTTGGTGTGGGATGTTGCAGCCCCAATACTCACTGTCCTCCTCTGCCCCAGGCCCTGGGGACCTAGTACCAAAGCGAGGGGCCCCCCATGGAGGCAGCCTTGACCGCACAGATGCCTCCGCTGACCCAGCCACCAAGCCCTGGCCAGCAGAGCTGGGCTCCCGGGCCTGCTCCTCCCCAGCCATCACTACAGCTCCTTCCAGCTCCACCCCCATCTCCCGGCACCCAGGCCGCACCCAAGGTGAGTCATGTGTCCCTCCAGAAGCGAGAGGGATGAACATCTGGGGCCAGGGCCCTCCCCGTAGAGCCTGGCTCTCAGGAGCGGGCAGGGGCCTCTCAGACTGAGGTGGTCGGCAGATTGGTGAAGCTGTGGACAGGCTTGGCGTCCCTCGGACACAGGTTCAGACCTCAGCACTGCTCTCGGTGGTGTGACTTTGGCGGATAACTCCACCCTCTAGGGGCCCAGGCCTACGCCGCTCACAGGAAAGCCCTAGAACCCCACCACCACTGCTCAGAATTGGGGGCACCGAGTAGCTCCCGAACGGGGGTGAACCAGAGCGTGGGCTAAAATTGGGCGACGTTGGAGGTTTATTCTCCTGGGAGGAGACTTGACGGGGTCTCTGAACTGGAGGGCGGTTGGTGGAGTGGAGGGCAGGTGTCCTAACGAAAAACAAGGGGGTTCGGGAAGGATTTACAAATTGCGTGTCTCCCGGGAGGCCAGTGGCGTCCACACCATAGATGAGATCATGCAATCCTCTCCAAAGCATCGGATTAGCAGGAGACAATCCCAGCAGAGCAGTCGGGTCACGTCATGCCAAGTGAGGAGCTCAGGACCCAGACACCAGAGGAGAGCCCGCAACACCTGAGACAAACGGGTGTGAAAGGCAGCAGGGTCAGAGGGCATTGGGCAGAGACGTATGCTTTAAAACGCCGTCATTAGCACCATAAGCGAAGCCGTACGCGTGAAACAAGCCGGACGCTATAAAAAGGAGCATGGGGGGTGTGGGGAAGCACTTGGAAAGTGAAAAATGTACAACAGAAAGGGAAAAATAAAGCAACACCAAAACAGAGACTCAGCTTATAGCTCAGAGATGGGGCTGTCTGAATACCGCAGAAAGAGCTGGAGTGTTAGGAATGGACGAGAACAAGAAGGGTGACTGTTTTTCATGATCAGACCCTCCACTGGGCCTGGAAGCTGTGGCATGCATACCCCTGGATTGACAAGCCAACACAGACAGGGTCCCTCCCTCAGACCGCCTGGGGCAGGACCTGGCCCCTTGTTTACAAATGGGAAATGCCCTCAGAGAATGTGAGTTATGTAAGCACTGGGCAGCCAGGCAGTCCTTCCAGACACTGAGAGGGCAGCCACTGACTGGGGGGCGTCCGGGGAGCTGTGCCGGGTGCCGGCCGGAGAGCCTACTCTGGGGTGCATTGTGGGCAGTCAGCTCACGGCCTCCGTCTCTCAGGCTCCAGCAGGAGCCGGGAGCACCACCTCCCGTCAGGTTTCCAGCGACCAGTGTGGCTCCCAGCCTGGCCCTCCAGGCTAACCACGGGCTGTCTCGGTCTGGATCCCACCCTGAGCCAGAGCCCACACCTGTCCAGATGCCTGCAGGGCCTGCCCGAGGCCGGCCACACTGCACACCCAGCGCTGCCCACGGCGATTCCCTGGCCGCCCAGTGCTCACGTTCAGGTGGAGGCAGAACTATGGCAACGTGGAGACCCCGGGGTCAGTTTGGAGGGGACCTAGGACTGCTGTCAGCAGGAATCTAGCAGGCGTGAGGCACAGGGCAGCGTTGTCCTTCTCAGGAGTGGCCTTTGTGTTCCCGACTGTTTCTGGGGAGGAGCTGCTGGTCCAGGGCTCGGTCCCTAGGGAATCCACATCCTCACTTTTCCTCTTCCTCCAGCCACGGAGAGGTGAGGCCCTGGGAGAACTGCTTTCAGGCCCTCTGCTTCTGGTATAGCTGGGAGGGAGTTGGGAAGGGGCTCCCGGGATATTGTCTCAGCGGCCCTCCAGAACGCTGCCGCCTTCATTTGGAGTCCAGCATTGCACAGGCGGAAGCATGATTTACCAGTCAAATAGGACTAAGGCTGTACGGGCAGGAGAAATAGGGGGAGAGGTAGTACAGACAGGTCCTAAGGGCACAGTCCGCATGTCCCTCCCTCCTCCAGGAGCTGGACACGACCACGAGGCAGGGGCTGGGCCAGCGTCCGAGGTGGCCACCTGGGAAAAGGCCCAGGTTCCCCCTGGATGTTCAGGTCCCCTGCCTCACAGCCCCATGGTCTCCGCAGGCTATAATTCCGACGACAGCCTCTGTGAGCGGTCCTTGGAGCTCGAGTTCACCAACCACAGGCGGCATGGTGAGTGGCCAATGCATGGTGAGTGCCCTTCAGCCGGGCTCTCAGACCTGTTTCCATCAACTGTGCTTTTCCTTCGAGCGGAGGCGTGTGTGCACGTCCCACACACAAGGAGGTGAAAGTGGAGGTGTTACGCTGGAGTGGGAATGGGGGACCCACAATTTCCCAACACTCCTTCCCTGCCTCCCGCAGGGCGAAAGCATGTGGCTTCTGCTTACATCCCTCTCGTGATGGGGAAGTCACTACCTGTCAGGGTCCTGCTTCTGGAGGCTCTGACTCCCCTTGCTTGAAGGGAGGTCTTGGGAGCCTGCAGCGAGCACTGGTTGCAGGGGCCTCTCACTGTCCTCCCCTGGGTGTTAGTTGCCCAGAGCAGCTTCAAGCTGTCAACTTCACCTCAGAAAGTATGAGAAGCACTGGCCGTCTGACTGAGGCGGGGTGGGAGTTTGTGCAGAAGGAAACGGTGAATGAGACCAGCCTTCTCACTTTCTTTCCTCCCGAGGGTCCCAGCACCCGCTCGGGCCCAGAGGTCATTGATCACACGTGGACCTGCACACGTGGCCATGTCCTGGCTCCCGTCCTCGCCAGGTGGTGCAGCGCTGGTCTAGGCTCAGTTTTTCTTTCTTTTTTTTTTTTAATGGCATTCCTAGCCGTATTTTTTTTTTTTAATATTTTATTGATTTTCCACAGAGAGGAAGGGAGAGGGATAGAGAGCTAGAAACGTCGATGAGAGAGAAACATCGACCAGCTGCCTCCTGCACACCCCCTACCGGAGATGTGCCCGCTACCAATGTACATGCCCTTGACCGGAATCGAACCTGGGACCTTTCAGTCCGCAGACCGACGCTCCATCCGGTTTCAGCTAGGCACAGTGTTTCCAGGTGCATTCCAGAAAGCTCCATGCGGCATTCTGCGTGAGATTTTCTTTGTGAACAAAATTGTTAGAGGCCACAGCCCCCGACCTCACAGGCAAAGGTAGTACAAGTCGCCGTTCCACGTAGCCCATGGCTGTGCACGGGCCTCGCACTTGGGTGAGGCGGGACCCCTCCTGGGGGCGTCAGAGGGATCCCAGGTCTGTCCTACCAGCAGGCGTTACCCTGGACCGTGCAGTTGCTTGGTTATGTCATTGTTTTCCGATGGGACGGGGTAGTCCGGGTCAGACTTGTCGTCGGACCTTCGGTTAAGTATTGCCGTTTCCTGCAGGGTCCCGGCCAAGCAGTGTGGAGAGCAGCAGGAACGCGTCCAGTGACAGCTCCCCTCTCAACCTGAAGGGTAAGCTGGCCTTTCCTCCGGGCACTTCTCAGTGGACTCGGATCTCTGCCCCGGGCGTTATGTGTGTGACTTAAAAAATACCGTTAGCCAGGTTCTTCTAAGCATGATGCGATTGCATTCATAGGGACACATCATGCCGTTTGAAGCTTAGGCCTGGGAGTTTTGACAGATTTGGGTTCAAATCCCTCCTCCACTGACCAGCTCTGGGCACCTGGCAAGCCACCCATCCTCCAAGTCTGAGCTCCTTCTGCTTCAGGATGGGGACAGAGCCAGTGGTTCCCGTCCACGGGGGTCAGAGGACACGATTGGCTGGTTTCTTTGCAGAGTACAGTTTGCACTATTTCAAGAGCGATCTAGTGCAGTACCTTACAGCTGTTGATAATTCAAGCTTTAGCAGAAGCTTTCCACTTTTATCCCAAGTTATTTTGTTTTTAATGCCGGCGTGAACTTCTAAGGAATTCCAGAATGCCCTTGACATCCACAGTGCCAGCTGGGTTCCCGGGCAGGGCTCTGTCCCGTAGCCGAAGGCAGCACAGAGCACATGGGAGGCGGGCGAGCAAGAGCGGGAAACTGACGTGTGTCCCTCTGTGTCCCCTCGCCCTGACACCAGGCTCCTCCGACCCGCTCCACCGCAGGCCCGAGAGCTTCAGCAGCGAGGACCTGATCCCCAGCCGGGACACGGCCACTCTGCCCCGCGATGCCAGCGCCCCAGGACAGACTACCCTCAGCCGCCAGGAGTACCCGCCACCCCGGAACGGGCCTGTCCCCCAGGAGTGCATCCAGAAGAGGGGCGTGGCCCAGCCCCAGGCCCGGGTTCGGCCCTGCGCCTCCCCGAGCAGGGAGATGGTCACCCTGGAGGAGTTCCTGGAGGAAAGCAACCGGGGCTCCCCAACCGCTGTGAGTGACCCGGGGCTCTCTCTTCCCTCGCCCCCCCCTTTCCGCACTCCCCTCAGGTGGACAGACAGCAGAGGCAGAGACCTTGACAGCAAATCACAGAGAGGGACGGGGCCGAGAGTTTCTGGCTCCTCCAGGCTGGGAGGTGCTGGCCAGGGGCTGCGGTTACCAGAGGTGGGTCAGGCCCGGGCTTTGGACTCTGCCTACGCAGCATGGTGGGAAAGGACACTGGTTCTCTGGCCAGGGAAGCCGAGCACCTGCTCAGCCGGGGGAGCAACTTGCAGGAAACAGTGGCAGGTGGCCCACCACCGCTCAGCCTTGCACCCCCCTTGGGGGCCCGCCTCACCCCTCCCCACCACTGCCTTATTCAGATCAAGAGAAAGGTTGCAATTGCAAAAGGAATTGTGTGTGTTTCCATTTCTTTTTCTCGAGTTTTGTTAGTATACAGGAAGGCAATGGATATGGATTTTTGCACATTGATTTTGTATCCTGCAACCTGACTGTATTTGTTTATCGTTTCTGACAGTTTTTTGGTGGAATCCTTAGGGTTTTCATATCATCACAAAAAGTGACAGTTTGACTTCTTCCTTCCCTGCTTTGGACGCCTTTTCTTTCTTTCTCCTGCCTTATTGCTGTGGCTAGGACTTCCAGCACATGGCCTTGTGGTGAGCGTGGACATTCTTGTCTTGTTCCTGATCTTAGGAAAACTTTCAGTTCTTCATCATTGAGTATGATATTAGCTGAGGGTTTATCATACATGGTTTTTATTATGTTTAGGTACTTTCCTTCAATTTCTATTTTATTGAGTGTTTTAATCATAAATGGGTTTTGTATCTTATCCAGTGCTTTTTCCTGCAACTATTGATAAGATCATATGTTAATGTAGTGTATTACTGCTTTTGCTGCATCCCAGACGTTTTGATATGTTATATTGTCATTCTCATTTGTCTCTTTATATATTTTTATCTCATTTTTATTTCTTCATTGCCCGAGTCATTTTTTAGTAATATGTTGTTTAATCTCCACGTATTTGCAAGTTTTTTAAAATATATATATTTTTATTGACTTCAGGGAAGAAGGGAGAGGAAGAGAGAGCTAGAAACATCAGTGATGAGAATCATTTATCGGCTGCCTCCTGCATGCCCCACACTGGGGATCAAGCCCAGAACCCCTGAGTTTGCAGGCCGACGCTCTATCCACTGAACCAAACCGGCTTAGGCTATTTGTGAGTTTCTTTACTTCCTTTTTTGCATTTGATTTCTAATTTCAAGACATTGTGGTCAGATAATATGCTTGGTATAATTTCAGTCTTCATGATTTGTTGATGCTATTTTTGTGACCAATATATGGTCTATCCTTGAGAATGTTCCATGTCCACTGGAGAAAAATGAATAATATGATGTTCCGTGATGAAAGGTTCTATAAATTTCAGTTATGTCCATTTGGTCTAGTGTTCTTTTTCCTTTATGTTTCTATCTGGGGATTTTTGGTGGTATTCCATACATCTTTCCTTAGCGTCCTCTTTTTTTAAGCTATATGTCGTGATTTGGGGATTTTTGTGTGTGGTTACCATTAGGTTTATAAAAAATGAAATTTCATATATAACGTAGTTTTTGTTCAAGTGCATCTGATCTTCATCTTCCTTTGCCAGTTCAGACCTTCCCCCTCCCCTTTTATGTTTTTGTTGTCACAAATTATTTCTGTTTATGCTGTAAGTTTTTCAATGGACTTACTAATAATGTTGTCACCTTATGTTCTTTTTTTCAGGTAGAATAAGTCCCTTGAGTATTTCCTGCAATGGAGGTTTTCTAGTGATAAAAATCCCTCAGCTTCTGTATGTCTGGGAACATCTTTATTTCTCCTTTATACTCAATATATTATTAATGGCTGGTAATTTCTTTCAAGCCCTTGAATATTTGGTTCTATTCTCTTCAGGCATGTAGCGTTTCTACTGAGAAATTAGATTAAATTCTGATAGGTTTTCCTCTGTAAGTCACTTCCCTTTTTTCCCTGGCCACTTTGAGAATTTCTCTTTGTGATTAATTCTTGACAGCTTCTATACCAAGTGCCTTGGAGAGGGCCTCTTTGGATTGAGGTAACGAGGTGTTCTGTGTGCTTCTTGGATTCAAGGATCTAGTTCTTTCCATAGATTTGGGAAGTTCTCATCCACTGTTTGTTTGAATAGGCTCTCCATTCCATGCTCCCTCTTCCCTCCTCCGCAATACCTGCAATTCTAATACTGCTTTTTCTGATGGAGTCAGATAGGTTTCCTGGAGCTCTTTCATCTTTCTTTATACTAGATCTCTTCTCTTCTTTCTGCATCGTGTCATGATTCCTGTCTTCAGTATCATTAATGCTTTCCACCATGTGGTTGGTTCTGTTCACTTTTAAGCTCCTTAATTGAATGCTTCATTTCCTGGATTTCTGATTGGTTCTTTTCTAATGTTTCAATCTCTTTGGTAAAGTACAAATTTGTTCATTGATTTGTTTTATGAGTGCACTGAATTGCCTGATGGTATTTTCTCACATCTCATTGAGTATTTTCAGAACCTTAATCTTAAAATCTCTGTTATTTGTATCACATAGTTCCATGTGTCCCAGCTTGCTTTCTGGGGATTTTTCATTTTCTTTCTAGTCATCCTCATTGTCGTGTTTCTCCATGATATTTGCTATCCTCCTTTGTTTATGCATTTATGTCTGAAAAGGTCTATTACTTGCCAGAAAAGGGCACTGAATCTCAAGATTTTTATTTTTTATTTTATTTTTTTACCTCTGTTGCCTCCCAGTCTTGAACCTCCACAGCTTCCGTAAGACAGTACAGCCGTGCTGCTTGGAGATGGGGTTAGTTTTGCCCTCACCATCATGGTGACCCCTGCCCTCCAGGGACCCTCTTGGCCCTCAGCTCCTACCTCTCAGTTCTTCCTCTCTTCTCTATAGGACACTCCCAGTTGCCGGGATGACCTGCTAAGTGACTACTTCAGAAAGGCCAATGACCTCTCAACCGTCGGAGGCCAGCCAGGCCCACCTGCCAGGAGAGAAGGGGCCAGGATGCCCACCAGCTTGGTGGCCCCCACCCTCAAGATGGCTGTCAGCACCTCGGAGGGGAAGCTGCTGAAGCCGGGGCAGTACGTGAAGCCCAACTTGAGACCTGCTGACGCCGAGACCCCACCCAGTGCCCCCCTGAGGCCGGCCCACCCTCCCCAGAGCCTTTCTCTGGGCAGAGCCCGGCAGGCCACGATGCCCCCAGCCTCCCACCCACCTGCCAGCCGGAGCGCATCCCTGAGCAGGACCTTCAGCCTGGCCTCAGCTGACCTGCTTCGGGCTAGCGGGCCAGAGGCCTCCAAACAGGACTGTCCTCTGAAGCCGGGGGGTTCTGAGGCCTCAGGGGGCAGGGAAACAGGCAACCACACCCCGCAAAGCCCCATACCCCCCAGCTCCCACAGCCTGGCCCGGGAGAAGACCCCCCTTGTGGGAAAGGCTGGCGGCTCCTATCAGGCCCCGGGTCCCCGAAGCAGACCACTGGACATGAGGCGCTTCTCGCTGGCTCCCCCAAAGGAGGAGAGGCTGGCTCCCCTGCCACAATCCGCCACAGCCCCAGCCATTGCCGGCGGCGGCAGCAACTCTCAGCCCCAGCGCCGCTCGCCGACTCCAGCCCCAGCTGTCCGGACTAGGCCCCCCAACCCCCAACACTCAGGGGAAGTGGCCACTGTCGCTCCTGTCCGGGTGGGGCTCAGCCTCTCAGAGGGAGATGGGGCCCCAGGACAGGCCCACAGAGAGGGGCTCCCTGCCAAGAGCCCAGGCAGGTCTCCCGACTCGGCTCCCCACACCAGCCGGGCCCCCGAGGACTTCAGTCGTGGGAACAACTCGAAAAGCATGCCGGCGTCCCCAGAGCTGGGCGGGGACCCGCAGACCGTGTGGTACGAGTATGGCTGCGTGTGACACGCCTCCTGGACCCGCGGTCCCGGCCTTAAAACCACTGACGCGCCTTCTGATGACTGTGGCTGCCTCTCCCGTCTGCCTGGGTGCCCGGAGCGGGCTTTGAACGAGGAAAGGGGCTCCGTGTGCTTCTTCCATTTGTTCTCTTAGTGACAACACTGTGCCAAGGAGTGGAACACATGTCAGATCCTCCAGCCACTGGTACCTTTTGAACAGATCCACTTTGGCCTGGGGATGCTCACAGTGTAATGGCAAACTGACTTTCCTCAGGCAAACACTATGTGAGCGGGCCCCTTAGAACACTTGTTTGCAATTTGACCTCCATTAAAACGTGCGTGCGTGTGTGTGTGTGTGTGTGTGTGTGTGTGTGTATGTGCGTGCAAGTGAGCAGATAAACACGTGCACGCATGTTCTCAGGGCCGAGCCCTAGACCAGAAACTCTACTCCCTCTCCCAGAAGCCTGATGGTCCCAGGGGAAGCCCAGACCGGCCAGACTACAAAGACTTGGAGGCCCTGGGTGGACCCTAGAGTCAGGCTCACTGTTAACCCAGAGCGTGGCCAGCCAGGCCTGGGCTCATGTACTTCACCACTGGACCAAGGGGGCCTCGGGCTTTGCCTCTGTCCAGCTGGCTCCTGGGGCCACATGGGAACCTGCCTCCCCTGCTCACTTTTCTATAAACACTGGGTCTGCCCGGCCTGGGTGACGGGGCAGAGAGAAGCCCTGCCCGCCCCTCCCAGCAAGGGGCCACAGTGTGCAGAGGGGAGCGTGTGCGAGAGGCAGGGGCAGCCTGATTTGGAAATGGCTGCAGCACCCCAGTGTCCCCCCTCGAGGGTGAGACATTAATTGTTTTATTTCTGAATAACTTTTTGTGTTAGAAACCAAATTCCTTTAATATATTACATATATATGTGCACACTCATGAAATATATATATTTTGATGGGGAGCCACAGGGTGTCCTCCCAAAAATGTACACACTAACAGCTGATAAATCAATTTCCACTTCTTTTCGGGTTAACATTCGAAATAATGGGTGAAGCCAGGCTAAGCTCTAAACAAGGATAACTTATCCCCTAGACCTTCATTAAAAATAAAGTTTATGGTATGAAATCGGCAACAGTGCCTGGACCACAACTAATGCAAAGCAGCAGAATTACAAACATAAAAAATCATTTTGTTCCATATTTATGCTCATTCTCTGTCCTCGGTTCCTTGACTATTGCCGGTTTTGTGCCATAAACTTCACTATTTATCCCCCTAAAAAGTCAGGTGGGTAAGTTTTTTTTGTTTGTTTTGTTATTCAAAGCTTAGTCTGGCTTCACCCATTGCTTCAAATAAGTTAAACCTAAAAGGGATGAAAATGAAGTGAGTTATCAGCTGTTAAGTGTGTTTTATGTTCCATTGGGAATCATGCATTTCCATCGGGAGTCTGACCTCTGGATACATTTTGGGGGGACACCCTATATTTATATTCCATGCGGAGTCATTCTTTCCCATCGGAAATCGCACCTGCTGCTGTGTGTATTTGGCCAGGCTCCTGAGACATTTTGTTTCTTGTTGTTCACTAAGGTGCTTTTCCTGGTTGTACCAACTTGGTGATTTGGATTTTATAAAGATTTTTTTTTCCCTTTTGAGCTAAAGTACTGAGAAGGAAATGAGAATGTTAACATGGCCAATTTTCGGAGTGCTTTGGGTTGTCTGTTAAATAGCCATTGATTCTGGGACACAAGGATGGGTTTGTAATAAAATGAGAAGTTGTAGAATTGAGTCCTCGTTTTCCTCACCGATCGTCACTGGCAGCACTGTCGGGGCGTTGGGACTCCAGGCTCCCTGCCTCAGCCCTAGCATCTGGGCCGGGGAGACCCGAGAATCCACCAGCTCCCTTTGCCTGGGGTTAGAGCGTAGGAAAGCGAGGTATCCTGTTCACAAGGCAACAGCTTTTTTCCAGGCTTGTGTTTAAGTTCCCATAAGTTGAATCCCATTTAGATATGGGATTTAAATCATAGCAGGAGCTTAGCTTAACGTGATCCTTGGCTCTGTGTGAGTGAAGTGTCCAGTAGGTGGTTTGGAGAAAGAGTTGAAGACATGAAATAACCATTGTGCCTGTAGGCCAGTGGTCGGCAAACTAGACAACAGAGCCAAATATCAACAGTACAACAATTGAAATTTCTTTTGAGAATCAAATTTTTTAAACTTAAAATTCTTTGAACCACTTCTTCAAAATAGACTTGCCCAGGCCGTGGTATTTTGTGGAAGAGCCACACTCAAGGGGCCAAAAAGCCACATGTGGCTCAAGAGCCGAAGTTTGCCGGCCACGGCTCTAGGCTTTCGCGACCCACTGTTGGGCCCTGGATGGCGGCCAGGAGCTGCAGCAACCAGCCAGGTTTTCTGCCCGTGACACACTTACCGATGGTCATGAGCCAGATTTTCTAACCGATCTTGTTGCTATTTCTCCTGGTACAGGCTGGTCAAAGACCAACTGCGGACAGCACCCAAGGGCCTTGGTTCAGTCCTGAATGGGTTTTTGTAACTAGGTTATCAGTCGCTCCTTTTGGTGGGCAGTCCCTACCTGTAAATTGCAAACTATATAACTTCACCCTTACAGGTCCTGCAGTCCAAAGCTCTTGACATAGACCCCAGCAGTATTCGATGGTTGTGTAAAAAGTACAAGAAAATTTCAAATTTGTGCCATGCAAAAAAAAAAAAAGTGACCCGTTTTCCCAAGGCTGCTCAACCAGGAAGTGTCAGAAGAAGGACGGAGGGAGGCATGTAGCCATTCCCTCCTGGCCTGACCTAGTGGTGTTTTGTCCAGCTGCCAGCTGAGGGCTGAGGCTGCCTGCAGAGAGGGTGGGGTCACCTGTGGCACCAGAGGGGCTCTCCCTGGGAGAACAGCAAAGTGAGAGCATTAGAGAACGTCCGACAGACCTTGGGAAGGAAGCATCCAGCCTAAAGTTTATCAACCAGCCAGAGGAAGCAGGAGGGAATATGTTTACATGTGTGCACACACGTATGTATACATGTATGTATACATGTATGCACACAGCCCATTGATTCCCTTAGAAAGCTCTCACTGGTTTTGGTCAACCTGGTGCAATTACAGCCACCTATGCTTGCCCTCAGCTAAGGGATGGGTGTGGTTCCCACGTGAATCCTGCCAGTCACAGCCTCAGGCACTTTTAGTTGGGGCTTCGGCTTCTCTCGGAGCGGCTCACTGGCTCATGGTCAGGTAGCCATTTAGAAGTCACAGTGAGGTTTGGACTCGGGGCTGACTGTCCCCCAACTCTAGGGTTCTCTTTCCAGCCCATGCAACCTCTCGAGTGACCTGTTTATAGAAATCCAAAGACAGACAAGTGTCGCCTGTCACAGGGCCTCGCTCTGGGGACCTTCCTGAGGCAGCCGCCTTGGTGAGCATCGCAGGGCTGAGTTAACCAAGAGGACCAGATACAACTGCACGGGCTATGCTGCTCTCAGGCCCAAGCAACAGGTCAGCAGTCTAGAGTGTGTGTGTGTGTTTGCGTGCACACACACAAGCACATGTGTGTGTCCAAGGGTTATGAGAGCACAAGCTATGACAAAAATCAAGCTCTTGTTTGTGTCTCAGCCCTGGCACTTGTCCCCTTTCCCCTAGGCAGACTGCCTGCACAGTGCCAGCCCCCTGCCTCCTGGTGAGGACATGGTATGACTCTGCCCTCACTAGGGTGGCAGCAGGGACCTCAGCAATTATTATTTTATAAGTAATCTCCATTTTAATTCCTTCTCACTTTTGCCTCATTGGTTTACTTAGGGTAATGGTTGCCCAGAACTCAAGATATTTGGAGATATTTCACCCAATACAGTCAACATGGTCCTTCCTATACCCTGCTTCAAAATATGCAGCGGGGCCCTGGTGATGCTGCTCATTGGTTGAGAATCGACCTACAAACTAGCAGGTCATGATTCAATTCCCAGTGAGGGCACATGCCCTGGTTATGGGCTCCATCCTCATAAGGGGCTTGCAGGAGGCAGCCGATCAATGATTCTCATCATTGATGTTTCTATCTCTCCCTCTCCCTTCCTCTCTAAAAACAATAAAAATGTATTTTAAATAAAAGTGAGAAAAATCTCATTGCTTTTATGTATATTATATTACTGAGGTAAATTTTGCTGATACCCAACTTACAGCATCATCTCTGAATGATTTCCTCAAACCTGCCGGTACAGTTACTGTGTCCCTTCCACCTTAAGTGTGAGCTAAGGAACCCTTTCTGCAGTGGCCTCGCAGCCTACTGCAGGAGATGACTTAGCACAGGATGAGTCTGAAGAGACTTTTCAATGTCATGTCAGGGAAGCTCACAGGAAGGAGACCAAGCGCACAGCCCAAGAGCAGCCTCTGTGGTGGGGGGAGAGACATCGGGCTGGCGGCTTTGCTTGGAAACTCCTTGGTAGAAACAGAATCTGTTCACCTGTGATGTGTGTGTTTAACCAGGATGGCAACTTTGCAGGTACATGGAGAGTGACAAATAAGGATCCTTGTACATTTGTGCGACTTGAGCATTTGAGGTGTCTTGTTACCCAAGCAGTTATTCCTTTTACATTTAAACCAGCCAGATTACATATATATCTTTAATTGATTTCAGAGAGGAAGGGAGAAGGGGAGAGGGATAGTGATGAGAGAGAACAGTTGGTCAGCTGCCTCCTGCATGCCCCTACTGGGGATAGAGCACATGTGCCAGAGTAGAAATTGAACTGTGACCTCCTGGTTCATGGGTTAATGTTCAACTGCTGAGCCACACCACCCGGGAGAACCAGCATGACTGTGAGTTTGTAGGGTAGATTGCTTAAATAACTGCTTCCAGTGTTAGTATACGGGCTGCTGACGCGAGCACCGACTGCTTAAAAGAGATGGCTCGGTGAGCTGCGTTCTCCCACTGAGGCTGAGATGGGGATTCTCTTTGCTTTGCTTCCTCGGGCTCCTTCCAACATTACGTTGGTGCTTCACACAGGATGGCTGTTGACAGCTTCTGG